ATTGGATTCAAAGTTTTTACAGGGTTTTGGGGGTACCTGTCTTCAAATCCTATCTCCTCTGAATCCAATGCATGAAATGCATCCAAACCTTCCGAGTACTGTCTCCATACATATCACATCAAACTCTGTTAGCCGATTTTGGATATCTTTTTTAGTTGCTGCCATATTGGATTCAAGGTTTTCACAGGGTTTTTTGGGTACCTGTCTTCAAATACTATCTCCTCTGAATCCACTGCATGAAATGCTTTCAAACTTTCTGAGAATTGTCTCCACACATAACACACCAAACTCTGTTAGCCGTTTTGGGATATCTGTCTTAGTGACGGCTCTGTTTGATTTTGATTTTGATGATTTCTTTCACCGAATTTTTCCTTTATATAAAGATCACATCTTGTAAGGTTCTCCACAGAAACTATTGAAAGTTTACATGAAGTTAGTGTGCCATATGTACCTCATCTTTTGTTCTTGGTTGCATGCTAAAAGTAACACAGCCTGGTGGTTATATTGACAAAATACCGAAAACATCGCTCAGAAAACTCAGGATTATTTCCCTTTGACCGTCAAGTGTCTTTTGCAGTATGTATACTACCCTTGAAGATGAGGGTTAGAATTGGTCTTCAGCTACTCATGCTGGTCTCAAGAGGCGATTATCGGGATTCGAACATTGTCTGGGTGGTAAATGGGTTTAGAACACTCTGGTTAACTCTGGCACACACCAATTTCGTAGTGGTGATGTCCTGCAAACGGTGACTATCTTTTGACGGAGTTGGTACAAGCAAACCCTTTGAGGATTTGAACATGAGGATTCGAGGTCAGAAATGGGTTAAGAACACACTGGGACATATGTGGGGATGTCTCACAAGCGGTTCATTACATTTAACGGCGTTGGTACAGGCAAACCATTTGAGGATTCGAACATGGACGAGGTCGGAAACAGGTTTAGCACTTTATCTCAGCAATACGACATAAACCCGGGGCCCTGACGAACTCAGAATGCTCATCCATTTGACTGGAGCACAACTGACAAAGAAGTTACAGTCTGGTTCAGAGTCACCAAGCCGAAAAGCTGAAGAGTCCCAGTGCTATCGTTCGATTTAATATTATTATTATTCCGCCGATTTTTGTACCAGAGCTAGCATAATAACCACTGCCTCGATTCCATTCAAATTTTGTATGTGTATCCAGATACTTACGTACCAGATACCATACAAATTCCAAGGCCGTAGGCCCAAAGACCAAGGGCAGATAACTGAAAAATAAGCAATTTTAAAAGCTATATTTTGCCTTATTGCTTCGCAACCGCTTGTCCAATTACTTTCAAACTTTAGATGTGTCTGCTGCTTTGGGTGCTTGACATTTGATGTTCTCTGACTTTGGTCATTGGTCACGTGGTTTGGCAGCCATATTGGATTCAAGGTTTTCACAGGGTTTTTTGGGTACCTGTCTTCAAATCCTATCTCCTCTGAATCCACAGTCTGAATTGCATCCAAACTTTCTGAGAATTGTCTCCATACATTATACATTAAACTCTGTTAGCCGTTTTTGGATTTTTTTTTTAGTCACGGCCCTATTGGATTTTGATTTTGATAATTTTTTTCACCGAAATTTTACTTGAAAGATCATATCTTGTAAGGTTCTCCACAGAAACTATTGAAAATTGACATGAAGTTAGTCTGACATGTATACCTCATCTTTTGTTCTTGGTTGCATGCTTAAAGTAACATCGCTTCATGGTAATATTTGATCAATATTTGGGACACCCCTGGGACACCCCTGGAACACGCCAATTCGTAGCAGCGATGTTAGGTGACAATTTTTGAACGGAGTTGGTACAAGCAAACCCTTTGAGGATTCGAACATGTTCAAGGTCGGAAATGGGTTTAGAACAGACTTGGATGCCACTGCACATGACAATTTCGTAGCGGCGATACCCTGCAAGTGCTGCCTACATATGACGGATTTGGCACAAGGAAACCCTTTGAGGATTCGAACCTGGACTTTTGTGCGCAGTGTTACTTGGAGCCCGCCATTGCTGCTAGCAGCTTTAATTTCATATTATTATTTTTTACGTAACACATGTCTATTAGAAACAGATTACTAAAAAATGTGTTTGTTGTTTAACCCGCACTCAGACATATTCCAGCAATGTATGACGTCGGGCTGCATATAATCGGATTCACGCAATTTGGATACGACGACATGCAATAAACCAAGTCATGGCGCCAAACCACCCGATTCATATATAGGGTTATTCACAAAGGGTTATATCCAATAATAAAGTAAAATCATCTCTCCGAGATCCAATATGGAGCACATGAATTAAGATTCATTGAATTAAACGCTTTCCCTTTTCAGAACGTTGGGTGTTTTTAAAGGGTAATTTTGTAGCGTTCACCAATCATAAATGGTACCATGCCGCAGTTTAACATGAATACCCAAATAAGGCACAGTATACTGACTCCCAGTCGACCAGTCCTTGTTTTAGACCCTTAATTCCGAGCGCCAGGCAGGGTAACAACACGTACCATCTTTTAACGTCTTTTGGTAAGAGTGCTCGTGGGTTTCACCGAAGTGGTAAACGTCTGAGACCTGCATCACTTCGGGCTTTCCTCCCACATTAAGCTGACACGCCGCGATATAACTGGAATACTGTTAAAAGCGGCGTTAAACCCAACTCACTCACTCACTCACTCTTTTGGTAAGATGCGGCCGGGGAACCCCGAACCTTCCGCTCTCCGGGCGGGCGCTCTGCCACTAGACCACGGAGGCGGACAAATGTTGAGTTTTGTTTGTCTATTTGTTGTTTAACGCCGCACTCAGCAATATTACAGCTATGTGACGGCGGTCTGTAAATAATCGAGTCTGGGTCAGACAATCCAGTGATTGACATCGTGAGCATCGATCCACGCAATTGGGATACGATGACATGCACCAATCAAGTCAGCGAGCCTGACCACCCGATCCCTTTAGTCGCCTCTTACGACAAGCATAGTCGCCTTTTACGGCAAGCATGGGTATCTGAACACCTATTCTACCCCGGATCTTCAAATGTTTAGTAAATATTTAAGTAATTAAGTAAGAAACCCTGAGTACCGCAGTCCCAACACTTGGAAAATGTTGTGTTTCAAGTGCTCAGGACATTTTGTGATATTTCACTTGCAGTAATATCGTGTTTGTTATATTGTGATAATACAATAATGTCTTTTAACACAATATAATTAAAAGATAGCTACGCGATAAATCACAAAGGACAATGAAGAACGAAGCGTGGTTTATTTCACGATAAAGCATTGTTCTGTTATGGCTTCATTTCTGGAGATTCGGATATACGCTCGTAACTTGATGGCGTCATATATTGAGTGAGTGAGTTGGGTTTAACGCCGCTTTTAACACTATTCCAGTTAAATCACGGCGTGTCAGCTTAATGTGTGAGGAAAGCCCGAAGTGATGCAGGTCTCAGACGTTTACCACCTCGGTGAAACCCACGAGCACGGGTATGGTGCTGACAAACCTAGAAACATAATCGGGGCGAACCGGGATTCGAACCCACAATCACAGGTTTCTGGCGTGTCCAAGGGGCGCAACTCTGCACAGCGGATTGCGGCGCCTTAGACGACTGGGCCACCCGTGCCCCCCGTCAATGAATATGACGACGCTATTTGTGAGAGGGAAGTGTCCAGTAAGTTCTCCCCACGGATGTCGCTGGACTACGCAGATAAACACAGTGGCCGACGATCTCCTCCAAAAGTGGAACAGATATAACAATATCGGTATTAGGAGAAAACTACAGATAATCGAAGTGAATATTGTGAGAATCTAAGGGAAATATCAAACTTAACCACCCACCTGTTCGTAAAATGGACTTGTCCGACATTTCCGAGATCGGATTTTATTCAGGAAGTCATAATTAAAATTTGGATAAATATTATTAAAGCTTGTACATTGTATCACCATCCTTAAAGAGGCTGTACATATGTCAATATCTCGCATAAGATATAAACGGCTCGCACTCGTTGTTTTTGGTACAATAAAACACGAGTGGTTTATTCTCCCTGCAGTGTTTTATTGTACGATAAACAGCGACCACGAGACGTTTATTTCTTATTTACGGGGTGATTTCCAAATTTTAACTCAAAATTTAACCCTGAAATCGGTTCGGACAGAACTAAATTGGGACATCAGAAAATGACCACCCAGCCTTTTAGAAACTGTCCCATCCCGAATCTTCTCGAACGATCAAGCCTAACGTCTTTGTAAACAACTAGGGGTGGGTAATTCTAATAGATCGCTGCTGCCGATAGCCCTCGACATTTTACAAGCACTTTAATCACTACCTGCAACTGACAATTTTACTACAAGTACATTTACTGCCACTCTGTATTGCCACTAATACTACTTACACATAACAATACCTTTCTCAGGTTCTGAATCCTCTCTTTCGCTGTATGGCCGAAATATAACGGATGCGATACAAATAATTTACTCACTGAATCCCCAGCTAACTTCGCTTACGTGTTCACGTGTAAACTTTTAGTTTACTTCAATTAAGAATAGTCAGCATTTAAACAATTAGAAATAATGTTAAAAACATAATTTTAAAAACAGTGATATTATGATTATTATTATTATTGTTATTATTATGATTATTATTATTAATATGGAAGCTAGTAGATGTTACGTTGGGTTGGTTTGTTTTCACTTTTTCTTAAATTACCCCTTATGGGATACTCACAGTTTCTCATCCAAATAAAATTGGCATGACAAACCGCATCATGTGTTTTTTACTTCCCACATTTGATGACGATTTGCATATATAAGGGGTTGTGTTGTCCATAGTTGATCGCATCAGAGACCATATAATAGATTATTATATGGTCTCTGATCGCATCTACTGGTTTCCGTCTCTCTCGCTCTGCGCGTCTCCAATTTTTTATATAAAGAGACGGAGCCCAGCCTATCGAATGCGTGGACGAGCATGACCTTGCACGTCATATCGGTCGGGGAATCCCATAGTCACGTGACCACGTTCGGGGCAGACGCGAGGCATTCCCCGCCACTTTTGACAAGGTATGTTATTTAATCAAATATCTGTTTATTGCATTGACTGTTCAACTATTAGAGAGGAAAGAGTTGTTGGGAATTCAATGACACAAAATTATGTGAATAGAAATGCGCCGATCCACAGTGAACGGTGAAATATTAATCACCGAAAAACAGCACCTACCGGAATATCAACAATGATGGTCGCCATCTTTGGAGAAATGGCTTCGACAAATTTCCTGTTTCCTCCGCTTCCATTAAATTTGCGGAGTAGACCTATTATCGTGTATGCACTTTGCAAAAGGATATGTATGGGATGTAAAGAGCTATTTGATGCATGGTAAACCGAAGTCAGTAGATCTCTAGCCGAGGGAAAATCTCGTTTACATCAGAAATTATCTCCCCTTTCACATCGATCGCAGTGAATACAAACTGTACAAGATCATGTTTAACGACATATTAGAAAGTACCATTTCTTTATATATTTGCCGGCCTGTTCAGTAGTAGTGTACATCGCGAATCAAGACAGTTTGGGGCACATTGAAATCACGTTGACCAAATTTTCAGTTAGTCCTATTGCTTCCAAGAATTCCTTATAATGATATCATTAGTAAATAAGTAGAAACCCCATATTGAGAATGTAAACAGATTCCAAACAAGTTTCGATACTCACTGCACTGGTTGTTGTCCTTTTGGCGGTGATACAAAATCATGCAGCATAGATGCAGAACAGATAATTTGAAATCAAAACAAATTTGTACCCTTAGAAATAGCCGAGAGCCACATATACATGTTATGATGTATATGCAAATAATTAGTATATAACGAATACGGTTTTACATTCCTTACTTCAGATAACAAACCATTAGAAAGTACAATCTGAAGAGTGCATAAAAGGCTTGCAGCGTTAGAAATTGCCACTAGTCCTATCGTCCTCGCCGAACTGCCCAATAGTTAAGGTATCATAAGGACCAGTAGAAATTTGCAATTTTTAAGGGTTTTGCTATATGTCATCATTATAAGGACTAGTGGACTAAAACAGTTAGTTTCTATCACTGGTTTGTGTCAATGAAACTAAATCTTTCTTGATGGCACTCTTACCTCTCAAAGAGCACTTCTTAAAGGGAAACAAGTTTGAGAGTCTTGAAATATGGATAGGAATTTTCTCTGTGGATTCAAACTTTGCTTATTATGGACTATGATTTCCAATGATTCAACTTGAGTTTGATGCGTTCTTACCACAGCTACTGCATGAAAACTAAATGCAAATATCGTAATTACAACTGACAAAAGTTAAATGTATAATATCAGGAAGTTACCTTGTTCGAGGAATGTATCTGCAGATATCCACATAAGGGAGCAATATCCCATACACCTGAAGCTGTACAAAGAAACTTGTCAGATGTAACATGTCCTTGTCACATTTTAATATTTTAAAGTATCTAATGTTTCAGGATATGTTCGTTTCTCAACTGACCACATAAGTTTGTTACTGGTGTTTCACATAGGTGTCAAGTTGAGATAGCACATATGACAACTCTGTTCATGATGTCCTCGGCTCTTATAAAAATCCATAGAGTTAGACAACAATGAGCAATCGATCAACATATCAGGGTTTTACTTTGACTTACAAAAGTGGGGGTTCTGGGGACCCCAAATAATTAATTTTAAGGGTCATCGCGGGCAATATGCGGGTCCTGTAAAGTGATGAAATGATGTAGTGTACTGTATGATATGATAATTACGTTAGATTCTGGAGTGAATCAACCATCATGTGGACAGTGGTCATGATTGATGGATGAAATAACAGACCCCCATAAGTGCTCTTGATGCGCTGTAGGTACAATGAATATTATTGTGCAGCCCTCGGCGCGCAGTATTATTTTTTCTGCATCCATTCTCTACATTTGTGCCTACTGGACGCACATTTGTGAGTCGCGTAAACCCCTGACATATAATCGGCTAATCTTTTAATCAAAGTTTGTTGTTTTTACATTGACACTTCAGCCCCGGATATCTGTCTGCATTGGTGAACCTACATATAATGTATAAAAACGCTAACTTTCAACAGGTCCACTGTGCAAGATAACAGTAATTAATCAACCTATTATTGGTTAATCTTTTGATTGATGTTTTTTGCAGCCCTGCTGATTATTCCTCTCTTGCTGCGCTGCCACATGATATTACATGACATGTAGTACATTCACCATATCTTTTTGTTTGTTTGTTGGTTGTTTAACGCTGCACTCAGCAATATTCCAGCTATATGACGGTGGTCCGTAAATAATCTGGACCAGACAATCCAGTGATTAACACCATGAGCCTTGATCCACGCAATTTGGACCGATGACATGCGTCAACCAAGTCAGCGAGTCTGACCACCTGATCCCGTTAGTCACCTCTTACGACAAGCATAGTCGCCTTTTACGGCAAGCGATGGGTTGCTGAAGACCAATTCTACCCCGGATCTCACCACATCTGGACGTTATAAAGCAATCAATGGTTCGCATTGTGTCGGGGATTATATACAACATCGTTAGAACGCCTCTGTAAGATTAGGTTATATCACCTAATCTGGACATATAACTTAATCGTATCTTATCCCAGGCGCAATGCGAAACCCTGATTGCTTTATAACCTTGACACCCTCATAGGCAGTGGTGAACGTTATTGTGATATTTTTCAGTCTCCGTCATTTAATCTGAGTAGTTCTACCACAAAGTATACCTGTAATCAAGTCATCAACTGAACATCAAATGACGACAAATACACAGGTGTAGGGTTATACTATGAAACATGGATGACAAGAAGGGAGTAGTAATTGTTGTATTATATGCAATTTGCCTGAAAAATAAGGATTGTTGTTGAGTATATGAACAGAAATTCATTGTTACAAAATTAATACGTACACGTTTTCTTTATACCAAACTACATAATTGTACATACATATTTACACACCCAGATGAATTTGCAAGGTGAAAGGTTATAGTAAGCATCATCCACTCAAATGCAAGGATTCAAGGGGATTAACCCTGGCTGTCAACAAGGTTTTCCAGTTGGCCCCTCGCTGGTCAGAAGCCCAGTTTGTTGGTCACTGGCACTAATTGGCTTCTGGTGATTACGCTGACTACTTAGAATGGCGCCAGCTAGACTACTGAAAGTTGGAGTGTTGTTTCCATTTAATCATGTTAAACTCTCAAACCTAAACATTGACCCTGTTAACTCTCAAAGGGCACATGTTTTCCATGTTAACTGTCAAAGGGCACATCTTGATCATGTTAACTCTCAAAGGGCACATCTGGATCATGTTAACACTCAAAGGGCACATTTTGATCATGTTAGCTGTCAAAGGGCACATCGTGATCATGTTAACTGTCAAAGGGCACATCTGGATCATGTTAACTCAAATGGCACATCTGGATCATGTTAACTGTCAAAGGGCACATCTTGATCATGTTAACTGTCAAAGGGCACATCATGATCATGTTAACTCTCAAAGGGCACATTTTGATCATGTTAACTCTCAAAGGGCACATCGTGATCATGTTAACTGTCAAAGGGCACATTTTGATCATGTTAACTGTCAAAGGGCACATCTTGATCATGTTAACTCTCAAAGGGCACATCTGGATCATGTTAACTCTCAAAGGGCACATCGTGATCATGTTAACTCTCAAAGGGCACATTTTGATCATGTTAACTCTCAAAGGGCACATTTTGATCATGTTCTCTGTCAAAGGGCACATCGTGATCATGTTAACTCTCAAAGGGCACATTTTGATCATGTTTACTGTCAAAGGGCACATTTTGATCATGTTAGCTGTCAAAGGCCACATCGTGATCATGTTAACTGTCAAAGGGCACATCTGGATCATGTTAACTCTCAAAGGGCACATCTTGATCATGTTAACTCTCAAAGGGCACATCTGGATCATGTTAACTCTCAAAGGGCACATCGTGATCATGTTAACTCTCAAAGGGCACATCGTGATCATGTTAGGTGTTAAAGGACCCATCTTTACTATGTTGACTCTCAATGGGCATGTCTTAACCATGTTAACTGTTAAGGGGCACATCCTAGCCATGTTAACTCTCAAAGGGGGACCAGGTCGTCCAGTCCCCTAGGATGCCACATTTCTTTTGCACTAAGTTGGTTTCACCCCAAGTATGTCTCCAGGTCAGTCAGCACCTATGCTCCTGGGATTCACCAAAGTGGTAAACACGCAGACCTGCATATACTTAGGGCTTTCCTCCCACATTAAGCTGAAATGCTGTGATATAACTGAAATACTGTTCAAAACAGTGTTAAATCCAACCAACTCACTTACATCTTTACCATGTTAACTCTCAGTAGACCCATGAAGATCCAGGGTGGAATAGGTCTTCAGCAACCAATGCTTGTCGTAAAAGGTGACAATGCTTGTCGCAAAAGGCGACTGGCGGGATCGGATGGTCAGGCTGACCTGACTTGGTTGATGCATGTCATCGATCCCAATTGCGCGGAGCCGCGGATTGATGCTCATGATATCAATCACTGGATTGTCTGGTCCAGACTCGATTATTTACAGACCGCCCTCATATAGCTGGAATATTACTGAGTGGGGCATTAAACAAAAAACAATACAAACATACTTCAAGTATATTTTTGTCCCTGCTGGTGTTCCAGGATATTTTAGAAAAAGGAGACGTCACAGCCGTCCAGCATGCCGGCAGCTCGCCAACGTAAACGTGTGGGAGGAGCAGGAGGAGGGAAGAAGATACGGATGACGGATGAACCAGACTTGTCCGAGGTTCCCGACGTCCCCAGCGACATTATAAGTGAACCACCACCAGAGGTTGCTTTGTAAGTGAATTCTATAACTCGGGGGATTTGACAAGAATAGGTTTAAAGTTTCCGGTGCTAAGGCGTCACAAAAGTGGTTAGTTACAAGGATGTTTTGACTTTCTTGCTTATTTTGGAACACTGAAAGAAGTAATGTTTTGCTGATGAACTTCGGGTATTTTCAGTGGTGTGGCTGAGCCAGAAACTACAGACCCCTTTGAAGAGCCACCGGCGAAACCTCCACCCAAGAGAAAGAGAAATCAGAAGAAAGATGATGTAAGTCATTATAAGACTGATTTTAAAATTTCTTGTATTTTTGTGCCAATCACAATGGCACACTTAGAAATCCTACTTTTTTAACAGAAACTGGACTTTTAAAGTCAGTTAACTCTCTTACCTTGGGAAGATGGCATTTAGATGAAGTGTTGGGGAGTGATGATAATATTGAAAGAAGCAGTCATAAAATCCTTTTGGGGATTACCGTGAATGATTAAATGCAACCAAGGTCTTGAGACAGCCATTTAATCCAAATCCATGATTAAGTAAAATATTTGTGATATGAGATGGGCATGTATTTGTACCAATCTTTATCAATGGAAGTTGATGATCTTGTGACCAAGCTTCGTACAAAAGCTGTTTCACAAAATGAGTTTGGGTTTTCAGAAATGAAACTGGTATTATACCCCATAAGGAAGAGATTTTATGCATGTCAACTTCTTTATTATGAGGAACACAACGTTCCAGAGTATATACCTACTCCTTCATCAGGTAAATTCATTCATTCACCTGATGAAGGAGTAAGTATACTGGTGTATGCTCCAAAACGTTGTGTTCCTCATAATAAAGAAGTTGACATCTAAAATATTCTCTTCCTAATGTGTATCACTTCTCAATGCGTTTCAAAGACTTGGGTATTATACAGTCTTGACTTTAGACACTAGTATGAAGCCCAAGTCTAGTATAATTCTGTTCAGTCTGGTAAGCTCAGAAATATTAGTTCATATTATAACACTAAAATTGACAAAGATTATGCTACATGTCAAGTTTGGACTAGTAGCCTCAAGTTTATTGGCACAGACTGATTATCAATCTCAATAAAACGGAAAAGGGAAGGATTTCAAAATTACAACTGCTTATTGTCTAGCCTTGGTGAAATAACATTCTACGAGTTCAGTGATGATTCACATTCTTGGCACACTTTAATTCCAAAGGGAACATCTAAACATGTGGGGGCACAGGTGGCCCAGTCGTCTAAGGGGCCACGTTTCGCTGTGCAGAGTTGCGTCCCTTGGTCACGCCAGAAACCTTTGATTGTGGGTTGGAATCCTGGTTCGCCCCGATTATGTTTCTAGGTTTGTCTGCACCATACCCGTGCTCGTTGGTTTCACCGTAGTGGTAAACGTCTGAGACCTGCATCACTTCGGGCTTTCCTCCCACATTAAGCTGACACGCCGCAATATAACTGTAATACTGTTAAAAGCGGCATTAAACCCAACTCACTCACTCACTCTAAACATGTGCATGCCATGTGGAACACTTGAAAAATATATACATAACTACAGTGCTAGGATGGTAACACTGTGAGCAAGTTAATAGATTGGAGTTGTTTGTTTCTGAATGTCCACAGTCTGGTAAGAAGAAGAAAGGAGATGGAGCAGGTCCTCGGCGCGGCAAAATTGATGACGATTTACTGGAAGGGAGTCTGTTTGATGTGGTCCGGGCAGGCAAGGCATCCCTACAGGTATGTGACATCGTACATATTGCAATGAATAACAATCTTTGTTCAGCGAGGATGATGGGTGGTGGGACAGGTTATGCGTTAGCTCATCACACTGAAGGCCCTGGTTTGATTCCCCACATGGATGTGATGTGTGAAGCCAATCTCATTCCAATCAGGGGGCACAGGTGCCCCAGTCGTCTAAGGCGCCGCGATTCACTGTGCAGAGTTGCGTCCCTTGGGCACGCCAGAAACCTATGATTGTGGGTCCGAATCCCGTTTCGCTCTGATTATGTTTCTAGGTTCGTCAGCACCATACCCATGCTCGTGGGTTTCACAGAAGTGGTAAACATCTGAGACCTGCATCACTTCGGGCTTTCCTCCCACATTAAGCTGATACGCCGTGATATAACTGGAATACTGTTAAAAGCGGCGTTAACCCACTCACTCACTCATTACAATCGGATCTTAGTTCTCGCTATCGCTAAACAAAGATCTGAGGACATCCCATTAAGGGTCACGTCATATGACCTTTCATCCAACCAATCAGAGCGTCGGTTACCAGATCATGGAAGTGACATTCAGAATGTGTTTTCTGATCATGCAACCACGAAATATTTAACATGGGGTATTCCGAACGACAGTTACAGGTTTTATGATTATATCCATACAATCTAGGCCATCTATATGCCATTCTAGAATGTTCTTATCAGTTTTAAATTTTTTAATCGAGAATAGGTCAAAATATGTTTCGAAGCGTAGTCACCAGTTTGAAACTAGTGCGTGTCGTAAAGCTTGAGAAAGCTGCCTTCTGATTGGCTAATGTCGATTTCTTGTCAGTCATTCCATTGGTCGGTCAGAGTTTGTGAAAGGTCGTTTCGACATGACCCGTATTAGTATGTCCTCAGATCTTTGATTAGTGGTAGCGAAAACTAAGATCTGATTTTAATGAGATTGTGTGTGAAGCCCTTTTAAGGTGTCCCCTGCCATGATATTGCGGGAATATTGCTAAAAGCTGTGTTAAACCCAACACACTGCTCACTGATATTGCTTCCAAATGTATATTTTGTGAAGCATGTAATTAACTATGTGCATGTTTGATGTAAATTGTCAAGTCAATAAGGTAACATAGTTTCTTGGTTTGTTGTTTAACGCCGCACTCAGCAATATTCCAGCTGTACGACGGCGTTCTGTAAATAATCGAGTCTGGACCAGACAATCCAATGATTGGTATCATCAGCTTTGTCCACATATTTGGGATACGATGACATGCATCAACCAAGTTAGCGAGCCTGACCACCTGGTCCCATTAGTCGCCACTTACGACAGGCATTAGGGCCTTTTTGAACCAGCATTGGTTGCTGAACATTTATTCTAACCTGGATCTTCCGATAGCATGGATTATATGGGTCCATTATTATCATTGTTACCATGTTTACTGGCACTGCTAGCTGTCTCCATTGACATGTTTCATTCTCTTGTAGGCTGTGGTGGATGACTGGATCGAGTCCTACAAGGCAGATAGAGATGCAGCTCTTCTTGAGCTTATCCAGTTCTTCATCCAGTGCTCCGGATGTAAGGGAAAGATAACTCCGTATATGTACGCAAACATGGAACATGCAGAGATCATCAGAAAAATGACAGAAGAGTTTGATGAAGTACGTGCCTTGTTTGTCGGGACTGTGTCATACAGGCTGACAATGCAGCATAATGGTTTTACTTTTACCTTATCCTGACTCGTAGTTATTGCTTGTCTTATCTCATCTCATTTCTGAAAGGTAGTGGAAACTTCCTGAACATTGTACCCGGAAAACAAAAAACAGCTCACCCGAATGCACCCCTTAGGCGCACATGTGCACCAGAAGCACGTGGCCAATCCGGTAGACATGCCACACTCTCATTTTCAGGCCCATAGGGCTGTTACGATTCACTCGCGCATTCGGTGAATCGAACTGTATCCATTCATAAATTGAATTTGTTATTCGTGGCCACTAGAATCGAATATTTATGAATATGCAATCGTGCATTTACATAAAAATATCCATAAGAACATGTTATATGCATAGATTTCTTCAAAAGACAACACTCTTATACTATTTAATTTGACAGTATTGTGGTCACTGGTCATTGTCGCATTTGAGCAGATACTAGTACCTAGATAAGTGCAGTATATAAATGTATAATAAAGCCAGTTTTGGGTGATAAATGAACAGAATCACACACCTATTGGTGGAACCACCAACTACTGTGGGATATAAGCAATAAGTATGAGCCAGGATAAGGTCAAATATTTATTTTTTTTAAATAGAAATAGCATTAATACCTATCCTGACTCATATGCTGAAGTGCACACCCAGCCGTGCCCATCTACCACCTCATGCATGTTTCGACCGTTGGTGAGAGAATGAGGGCGTGATGAGTCTACCTGATTTGTCACATGCTTACAGCGCTCAGGGGTGCGTTCAGGTGAGCTGTTTTTCTGTTCTCAGGGAACATTGTTCAGGAAGTTTCCACTACCTTTCAGAAATGATGTGAGATAAGCAATAAGTATGAGTCAGTATAAGTAGAAATGATATTTTTACTTAAAACATCAACATGTTAATGATAAAGAGTATAAAGTTTGATGTGTGAAAAGCATATGAAAATGCCCCCTTGGATCGCTAAATCATGTGACTGTCAGTCCCTGTTGACAGGCAAATAAAGTACCTTATATATCTTTGTTGTTGAACTAAATATTGGCGATAATCAAACAATTCTTTGAACGAAGTCGGCTTGTCTTTTATATTTATGGATTCCCGTTGTCCATTTTTACTGCAAAGAACTTTATTTGGAGACATAGTCTTGAATCAAAGTGAAAAGTTGAATATGATGTTGAAAAAATAAAAAACAGGTATTTTTCATACTTTTTTTTATATTTCATTGAAGATGGGACGGGCAATGATTGGATGGGGCTTGTAATTTTTAGAGTGGCCTGGCAGTGGGAAATGTAGCACTATAAAATCGGCATCAGTCCAGACAAGCGCACACGCACACGCACACGCACACGCACACGCACACGCACACGCACACGCACACGCATACGCACACGCACACGCACAAGCACACGCACACGCACACACACACACACACACAGTGCATGCATATCGCGTCCGCCTGGAGAGTGGAAGGTCCGGGCACACACACACACACACACACACACACACACACACACACACACACACACACACACACACAAACACAAACACACACACAGTGCATGCACATCGCTATAGGACTACCTCCGTGGTCTTGTGGTAGAGCGTCCGCCCGGAGAGCGGAAGGTCTGGGGTTTCATCCCCGGACGCGTCTTACCAAAAGACGTTAATAGAGGGTACTTGTTCTTACCCCGTATGGCGCTTGGCATTAAGGGGCTAAAACAAGGACTGGTCGGCTCAGAGTCAGTATACTGTGTCTGAGTGGGGTATTCATGTTAAACTGCGGCATGGTATCTCAGTGAGCTAGCACTATAAATCGGCATCAGTCCGGACTAGTACAAGCAGCCACACACACACGTACATGTACGTCGCTATATAAGTGCAATAATCTTGGACGCGACGTTAGACATTTCACCTCACCTAACCACATCGCTATAGAAGTGCAATAATCTTGGATGCGAAGCTAGTCCCCATTTCCCCTCACCTGAAGCTGATGTTTACCCCAAACTCCCTCACTTCCAGGACAGCGGCGATTACCCTCTCATCATGAGTGGGCCACAGTGGAAGAAGTTCAAGCAAAACTTTAACGAGTTTGTGCAGGTGTTGGTGCGTCAATGTCAGTACAGCATCATCTACGACCAGTACATGATGGACAACGTCATCTCCCTGCTCACCGGACTCACTGACTCCCAGGTCCGAGCCTTCCGACACACCAGCACACTAGCAGGTAATGGAGCGTTACACGCCAGGTATTGGTGACTTTTCTTATATTTATCTAGACCTCACAGAGGCTGATATTTGGCCTACTTACTTGGGGGCACGGGTGGCCCAGTCGTCTAAGGCGCCGCAATTCCCTGTGCAGAGTTGCGTTCCTTAGCTATGCCAGAAACCAGTGATTGTGGGTTCGAATCCCGGGACGCCCCGATTATGTTTCCAGGTTTGTCAGCCCCAGACCTGTGCGTGTGGGTTTCACCAAAGTGGTAATGACTAAGTCCTGCATCACTTCGGGCTTTCCTCTCACAATAAGCTGACATGCTGTGATATAACCATGATAACTGGAAAATTGTAAAAGCAGCGCTAAACCAAACTCACTCACTCACTCACTAAGAGTCTACAGCAATGTCAGTAAATCCTGCTGAAGCTTTGCAACATCGATGATGTTTTCTAAATGGCATTGTGTTTTCACAATGATGACGTTGTTCTGATAAAAAATTAGCAGGTTTTGTTGAATGTCTATCTTTGTTGAAGTTTTATACATGTATTGTTGAAAATATAAGTGAGCTGCAATGCCTTGGCACTATTTTCAAAATTATGTTGCATATCTAATAATTCATTTATTGTGACCTAAACATGCAAAAATCTCATTTGTTTGGTAATTAACTAATCATCATAAATTACCATGAAAAAATGTTGGAGTTTGGTTTTTATCTTGCAAAACAGTTGTATTTACTTTTAGAAGGAGCAAAATATTGACGATTACAAATACTTCCAAAAATTATATATATCTTGTATTAGAATGATAATGATGTTGAGGATGAAGATTCAGTGTATGTCATTTCCTAATTGTGTCACCATGGTTACAGCCATGAAGCTGATGACGGCGCTGGTGGATGTCGCACTCAATCTCAGCATCAACCTGGACAACACACAGAGACAGTATGAGTCTGAGCGGGCCAAGCAACAGTCTAAGAGAGCCACTGACAGGCTAGATCTACTCATGACTAAAAGACAAGAGGTATGAAATAAGCTGTTATCTCCCAACTGTTTGTTAAATAACTGTTACAAGATTGTACTTCAGCGATTTATCTTAAAATTATGAGATGCGTTTTTCTCTGTGAAAGTCATGGGAAAAATATTTTATGATCTGTGTTAGGAAAATAAGTGCTAGATAGTTGCAAGAAAACAGCTAGCGACTAGATAAACTTTTTATCTTAGGGTTAAAAAATAATAGTCTTGGTTTTCAAGCACCACCCACATCATCATAAAGTCTGCGGCATTTTTTTTTTTTTTTTTTTTTTTTTATTTAATAAAAATCCTAATACTTAAACACAATGCACAAAAAAAATTGAAAATGAAAACAAAAACAAAACGTGCAATGAACTTTATGATGATGTGGCAGTGCCTGAGAACCAAGACTGTTATTTTTTTAGCCTTAGTATTATTTCTGGAATCATAATTACACAGGATGACATATATATTTTTTCCCGTACGGGTTATCACAATTACTTGTGATTAAAATTACTTGACTTGAATGTTGTTCCAATTCACTCTTACTGGGGCAGTGGGGTGAGTTAATACAGTTGCCCCCAACGCCAAAGACCCGGGTTCGATTCTCCACATGGGTACTATGTGTGAAGCCCATTTCTGGTGCTGCCCGTCGTGATATTCCTGGAATATTGCTAAGAGCGTGTAAAACCATACTCACTCACTCACTCACTCACCATCCCTTTCCATGTGTAACTTTACAGCTGGAGGAGAACCAGGCTGAAATCAGGAACATGTTGACGTACATCTTCAAGGGTGTGTTTGTTCACAGATACAGGTGAGTGTTGACTTCGTCATTGCTGCGTTCAGAGCTCCAGATAACGTTTTGAGCAATTGAATTTTTACTCAAATATTTCTATTTTAATTGGGTTATGACATATTTTTTCACTCATCCAGTAAACTCTATTGGTTTTTTTCCCCAAATGAGTAAGCATTTAAAAAAGATGAGATTTAAAAAAAAAATGAAATAATGTTTTCAGATGTTTATGACGGTTCTAAATATAGGCTTGACTCGGAAAGTAAATTAGCACGTAATTGTGTCACGGAAATTAGCTCTGTTGAATGCATGCTGAATAAGCTTCATTGGGTATTTACGCATGCTGTTTTTATACATTTGAGTTTTTTATTTAATGCATGCGTTTTTGTACGCAAGTTAATTGAAAGTAAATGGGTTTTGAATGATTTGGGGAGTATTTTACTCAAATACACTGCTTATCTGTAGCTCTGCTGCATTGTAATCACAGAAATTGTCAAAAATATTATGTGTAGACAAGAGTTTGTATGAATTAGTATTGATACTCTTGTATCAGCAACCTTTGTTTCTTCTGACATGTTGTTCAATGTCAACATTTTGGGATTTGAATCCCAGGCGACAGTTTAGCTCCTGTACTTACAGGAACTGGTGTACCCGTGAAGATCTGGGGTAGAATAGGTCTTCAGCTACCCATGCTTCCTGTGAAGGCAACCATGCTTGTCGTAAGAGGTGTCTAATGGGATCGGGTGGTCAGGCTCGCTAACTTGGTTGATGCATGTCATCGTATCCCAGTTGCGTGGATCGATGCTCATGATGTCAATTACAGGATTGTCTGGTCCAGACTTGATTATTTACAGACCTCTTTCATATACCTGGAATATTGCTGGGTGTGGCGTTAAACAGGCACTGGTTGTACCCTACTAGCCACATACAGGTCATTTCAACAGAAAATTTGACAAAGTTTGACAAGACCGTCAAGACCTGTCTATCATTGTCTAAGTGCATTTGAACAGTTATAAATTGGGAAGTGTGCTGCACAAAGTCAAAATTTAATTTAATGAGTACTGATTATGTATCTTGGTCTGTCAGCATGATAGCTGTTGGTTTCACCATAGACTTAACATCTACCACCTGCAACCTTGGATTAATCTAGACATTCTCAGGGGCTGATATTGAGACTAAGTTTAGTGTAAAGTGCAAGACTTAGTTGCTTCACTCACTCACTCACTCACTCACTCACTCACTCACTCACTCACTCACACCCATTCTCACTTTCTCACTCACTCACTCACTCACACACACACATTCTCCGACCCACACACATACACACACACACACTCACTCACTCACCCACCCACCCACCCACTCACCCACTCACCCATTCACCCACTCACTCACTCACTCACTCACTCACCAGCGTTAGAAATTGGCACTAGACCTGTAGTCCTTGCCAAACTGCCCAATAGCAAAGTTATCATAAGGACTAGTAGAAATTTTCCCTTTTTAAGGGTTTTGCTATATGTTATCATTATAAGGACTAGTGGTTCAAACCTGTTAGTTTCTACCGCTGCACACACACACACACACACATACACACACACACACTCACCCACCACTCTCACTCACTCACTCACTCACTCACTCACTCACTCACTCACTCACTCACTCACTCACTCACTCACCAGCGTTAGAAATTGGCACTAGACCTGTAGTCCTTGCCAAACTGCCCAATAGCAAAGTTATCATAAGGACTAGTAGAAATTTTCCCTTTTTAAGGGTTTTGCTATATGTTATCATTATAAGGACTAGTGGTTCAAACCTGTTAGTTTCTACCGCTGCACACACATACACTCACTCTCACTCACTCACTCACTCACTCACTCACTCACTCACTCACTCACTCACTCACTCACTCACTCACTCACTCACTCACTCACTCACTCACTCACTCACTGTTGATGTTACAGAGACACCCAGCCAGAGATCAGATCCATCTGCATGATGGAGATCGGCGTGTGGATGAAGAAATACCCCTTCATGTTCCTCGACGACAGCTATCTCAAATACGTCGGCTGGCTGCTGTATGACAAGGTTGGTTATCTGCCCATTGCTGTAATGATTTTAAAAGTATTGTGGTTTATCAGCACCTCTGTAGCCTTGTGATTCAGTCCGTTGGCTACAGACACGAAGGTTGCAAGTTTCATTGACTCCACTGTAAAGAAGATGTGTTGTTTGACTGTACACCTTTCCTTACATGTCCTTATGTAGATGGTGACATTTCCCATGTAAAACAGACCTGTGAAGATCCGGGGTAGAATAGGTCTTCAACAACCCGTAAAAGGCGACTATGCTTGTCGTAAGAGGCGACTAACGGGATCGGGTGGTCAGAATCGCTGACTTGGTTGAAGCATGTCATCGATCCCAACTGCCCGAAACGATGCTCATGATTTATAACCCTGGATTGTCTGGTCCAGACCCGATTATTTACATACCGCTGTCATATGGCTGGAATATTGCTGAGTGCGGCGTTAAACAATAAACAAACAAACACTCCAAATTGTTGTTTTCGTACTTTTATGAGTTTGATTATTCCAGGTTGGTGATGTGCGATCGTGGTGCCTGAAGACCTTGTCTCCACTCTATGATTCCTATGATCTCTCTGGAAAACTGGAACTTTTCACCAACAGATTCAAGGTAGGCTGAGAACATACATCAGGCAATTTGGACAACTAAACATTCGTTTTTCAGGGTGTAGATTCTGGTCCTTAATGGAAACGTTGATCATGCTCGGTGACCTCGTAGATTGCGTGTCAACCCTTTATCTATTTCTTGCCTCTAAGGGGTGGTCGGGTAGCCTAGTGGTTAAGGCGTTTGTTCATTACGCCGAAGACCCGGGTTCGATTCCCAACATGGGTCCAATGTGTGAAGCCTATTTCTGGTGTCCCCCGCCGTGATATTGCTGGAATATTGCTAAAAGCGGCGTAAAACCATACTCACTCACTCTCTTCTTGCCTCTATGATGTCAAGATGTTAAAAGTTCGGGTTTACACCATGTGTGCACTTTAAGTTGATAACTTTCAGAAAGTATGAGACAAGACAAAATAAACATGTCCAGCCGTATTTTCTGAGACAAATTTTCTGTGACATTCCGCCAGGACCGCATTGTTGAGATGACTCTGGACAAGGAGTACGATGTTGCTGTGCAGGCTGTCAAACTGGTGGTCAGCATCCTCAGGTAAGAACTGATAGTACCGTATTCGATGTAATAAACGCCCAGGGTCCTCTCAAAATTAGAAATAGGGGGCTCTTATGAGAATATTATTTTTGTGAAAAATAAATTTCGTGGTTTGCTGACAGCTTGAAATGTTTATATATGACAAGATAATTTTTGTCATTTTTTTACCATTATGATTGTGTTTTTCAGGTACAGCGATAATGTATTGTCGGACAAGGACAGCGAGAATGTGTACGAGTTGGTTTACTCATCTCACCGCCAGGTGGCGCAGGCAGCCGGCGACTTCCTCAACACCAAGCTCTTCAAGCGCGACGACGAAGCGACGAAGAATCTCAAGTCAGCAAAGGGGAAGAAGCGGAGTCCCAACACCCCGCTCATCAGAGACTTGGTGCTCTTCTTCATTGAGAGTGAGGTGAGAAGGGCTTGTCATCACCAAAGGGATCCACCCTTTAATAGTCTTGAAGGGAGGCTGGTATTTTTGTTAGAGATTTGGTTTGGTTTGGTTTGTTGTTTAACGCTGCACTCAGCAATATATGGCAGTGGTCTGTAAATAGTCGAGTCTGGACCAGACAAGTGACTGACATCATGAGCATTGATCCACGCAACTGGGATACAGTGACATGCATCAACCAAGTCAGCGAGCCTGACCACCCGATCCCGTTAGCCGCCTCTTATGACATGCATAGTTGCCTTTTACGGCATGTCATCATGTCCCAATTGCGTGGATTGATGCTCATGATGTCAATTACTGGATTGTCTGGCCAGACTCGATTATTTACACACCGCCATCATATAGCTGGAATATTGCTGAGTGCGGCGTTAAAAAACAAACAAACAAACAAACAAAACAAACATGATTTGGATTGGAAAAAGTGTTTGAAAATGGAAATGAACCCAAATGTCTTGTTACAGCTCCACGAGCATGCAGCCTACCTGGTGGACAGTCTGTGGGAGATCAACGACATGATGAAGGACTGGGAGTGCATGACAGATCTGCTGCTGGAGGAGCCAGGCAGAGGAGAGGAAGGTTGGTTTGTTTGTTTGCAACCTCACTCAGTCACCCATTCAACCTCACTCACTCAGCCTCCCTCAATTACTCAACCTCACTCACTCAACCTCACTCACTCAAAGCCACTCACTTACCCAATCACCCAACCTCATTCACCCACTCACTCACTCAACCTCATTGACTCACTCAACCTCACTCACTCAAGCTCACTCAATTACTCAACCTCACGCAACTTCACTCACTCAAAGTCACTCACTTACCCAGTCACCCAACCTCATTCATCCACTCACTCGCTCAACCTCCCACAACTTACTCAATCTCACTCACTCAACCTCACTCAATTTACTCAACCTCACTCAATTGCTCAACCTCACTCACTCAACCTCCCGCAACTTACTCAACCTCACTTAATTACTCAACCTCACTCATTCAACCTCACTTAATTACTCAACCTCACTCACTCAAACTCACTTAATTACTCAACCTCACTTCATTTCTAACCTTACTCACTCAACCTCACTCACTCGCCCACTCACTCTCAAACTTACTCAACTCACTCAACCCACTCAACCCACTCAACCCACTCAACCCACTTAACTCACTCAATCATCCTCACTCATTCACCAGCAGAGGAATACACTGAACAATCCTGTATGATATCAATAGTATACCAGTATACCGACCCTGGAGTGAAACCATTATACAAGTATATATATTCATCCCTCTACTGCTCCTGGTTCCAGCGCTGGATGACAGACAGGAGACAAGCCTCATCGAGATCATGGTGTGTTGTGTGAAGCAGGCAGCCACAGGAGAGTCTCCGGTGGGCAGAGGCCCCAACAGGAAGGTATGTGATAACAGCCGTAACGCTTGGGACACTGTGAAATACGGCATATGGAATATTGCTGGTAGGGCTGGAACGAGTCCAAATTTGCTGCCCAGGTAACCCCAATATTACCCGACCCTACCCGGGTACCTGCTGTAGGTACAAATGTCCGATTGGGAATTGTTAAAACGTAGCTCTGGCAAAATGTATTTAGATACTCATATTAACGATCTCGTCATGCATACACTGAAGTTGATTGAAGTTTTATCTCTATTCAAACATATAAAGTCAGAAGGAATGCAAACATAGTCAGAAAGAAATGTGAATATTAGTCACTTATAGTGTAACCTTGGAAGTTCTAGAAAAAAATTGCCATTAAACAATATATCAGGTGACTAACGGGTCCGGATCTGGGTCTGGGTCCGGGTAGTCCTGTGGGTATCCGTGTCCTACTCAGGAACCACCCGACCTGAGTACCTGAGTTACCCGTCCCAGCCCTAATTGCAAGTCTATGCAAGTTTTGCCCAACACGCGAAATCTTTGATCTCGTGCAGTTTGGGTTGAAATAATGCTATTAAGTTTCTCGATTATTGTCGGGATATTATCTTTTAAAAATATTGTTGGATTCTTTTGAACAATGATGACACCTTAAAAACCACCTATGATCCCAGGGGATAGACCTGCTCAGAAGCCGATATTTGGCCCCAAGTCTGCAGCAAATATCACTTAAAATTCTCAAATTGGAATTTAAAATTGGCAGACCCCCAGAAGTTGCTTTGTAAAACTCGTGACTAGTAAAATCCGGGGTCAGGTGAAATGGGCATGGCAATCGGGGGAATACCGCTGCTCAATGTTGAGTAAAACAACAAAGAAATGTGACTGGCCTGTTTTTGGTTTGCAAGCTGACAGCCAAGGAAACCAAGCAGGTGATGGAAGACAAGACGAAGCTGACAGAGCACTTCATCGTCACTCTGCCGCAACTGCTGCTGAAGGTAGGGTCTTCCTGTGAAATGATCACCTCGTCTGATCCTGCTGGGAAAGTTGCAATTTATTGGATACTTACTTTTTTTTAGAACTGTAAAAACTATTTATTAATGTAAGGAAGATATTTAACGTTCTGCAATTCAGTTGATAGTTCGACATGGCATAGGGGCATTTGTCTCACAATATTTACTTTCTTGTGTTATTAACTGAAGCAGAATATAATAAAATCAGCATACCAGCAGTCTCAATTATTGTCCAAGTAAGTCTGGACTGACTAGTTGTTTATTTCTGTATGTTGTTATATTACATTACAACTACCGGTAGTCTGAAATAGATAGCTGCGGACTATTTTGATATGACCAATGGTGTCTACCCTTGTTATTTCTCCATTCTGCAGTTACAAATACCCTAAATTCATTCGCAACCATAACATCATTTCTGAAGTGACGTCAGGGCGGTTTGGTAGCCTAGTGGTTACAGTGTTCACTCGTCACGCTGAAGACCAGAGTTCGATTCCCGAGATGGGTACAATGTGTGAACCAAACTCGCTCGCTCACTCGAAGTGGTAAACGTCTGAGACCTGCATCACTTTGGGCTTTCCTCCCACATCAAGCTGACACGCCTTGATATAACTGAAATACTTTTCCAAATGGTGTTAGACCTTACTCATGCTCACTCACTCACTCACTCACTCACTCACTCACTCACTCACTCACTCACTCACTCGGAAGTGATGTCACCATTTCCTTCACTCTTGTCAGTAAAGCTTTCGCTCATGCGTGTAATTTGATTGGACAGCTATTTTAAGGTTAATAGTTGTCTTGTTAACTGATGATACTTGTTATTACCCTGCCTAGCACTCGTCAATAAGGAAATAAAACAAGGACTGTTCGTCTCGGAGTCAGTATTTTGTCGTTGCGTGGGGTATCCATGTTAAACTGCAACATTAGTGCAGTCAGTGGGCTTGTACTATAAAAACAAGCATTTATACGGACTAGTACACGCAGACACACACATGCATGCACATCGCTATGTATAAGTGAACGTTATGTGTATGGAGTTAGGCGCATAACAAACGTTGTTGTTGTTGTTGTTGTTGTTGTTGTTGTTGCTAATTCATCCCTGTACTTTCAGTACCTGATGGACCCGGAGAAAGTGGCCAACCTCCTCCTCATCCCCCAGTACTTCGACCTCGACATCTACACATCAAGTCGGCAAGAAAAGGTAACTTGCAAATATTTCTTTCTGTATTCACAAAAAAAGAAACATTGCACCTCTCTCTCTCTCTCTCTCTCTCTCTCTCTCTCTCTCTCTCTCTCTCGCTCTCTCTCTCTCTCTCTCATTCATGGTAAAGTATATTACAACATAACTAAATCAACTGGTGACATGTTTAAAAAAAAATAACAGGTATTGAACGCAAATCGTTATCTTAGTTATGTGCAAATTGTTGTCTGAATTATGTGTCAGCATTTTTGTATTTAAGTGTGCCTTTTCCCAAAAGCTGTCTCCTCACTTTAGACTCCCATTGAGTCATATACCGTATTTGCCCGAATATGTGCCCCCGGGCCAACTTCTTGACCAATCTGTAACTAACCCCACTGCATATTTTCTTGTACCCTTATTACGGCAAGTACAAGAACTGCTTTGTGAGAAGATGAAATATTTCTGTTCGTTTGTTTAACAATGTTTCTTTCCATTCCAGCATTTGGAATTGTTGTTGCGTTACCTTCAAGAAACAGTCGACAAACATACAGATACTGAGGTAAGGGGAGGCAACTCCAACATGGTAGTGTTTTGTAAAAGAATTGTTTATCTTCAGGTTTTACACAGACAAGACATTGTGTTCTGGAAATGTTTCACACACACAAAAAAACAAGTTTGTGGGCTACTGGATAGTGCATCTACCTGGAAAGTGGAAGGTCAGTTGTTCGATCTCCGGCTGCGTCATAACAAGATGCTAAAAGATGGTACTTTTTTTTACCCTGCATGTCGCTTGGCATTTGGGGATAAATCAAGGACTGGGAGTCAGTATGCTGTGTTTGAGTGGGGTATTCATGTTAAACTGTGGTATGGTATCTCAGTGGGCTAGCACTATAAAACCGACACTAAGGATGAATTATAGTCCTGTGTGTTTTAAGGTCACTAGGTAGATGTCTTGTAATTATAATATGACTTCTTCTTGAGACTTCGACGTGGTTCTTTTGATCGACATTGTTGAAGAATGCTGTTATTTTCTCATCTGCTATTGATGATTGATAGTCAGGTATGGTTTGAGGTGTTGGAGGCGTACTCCATTGGTAGTCAAGTATGGTTTGAGGTGTTGGAGGTGTACTCCATTGATAGTCAGGTATGGTTTGAGGTGTTGGAGGCGTACTCCATTGATAGTCAGGTATGGTTTGAGGTGTTGGAGGCGTATTCCATTGATAGTCAGGTATGGTTTGAGGTGTTGGAAGCGTACTCCATTGATAGTCAGGTATGGTTTGAGGTGTTGGAGGCGTACTCCATTGATAGTCAGGTATGGTCTTAGGTGTTGGAAGCGTACTCCATTGATAGTCAGGTATGGTTTGAGGTGTTGGAGGCGTACTCCATTGATAGTCAGGTATGGTTTGAGGTGTTGGAAGCGTACTCCATTGATAGTCAGGTATGGTTTGAGGTGTTGGAGGCGTACTCCATTGATAGTCAGGCATGGTTTGAGGTGTTAGGGGCATACTCCATTGATAGTCAGGTATGGTTTGAGGTGTTGGAGGCGTACTCCATTGATAGTCAGGTATGGTTTGAGGTGTTGGAGGTGTACTCCATTGATAGTCAGGTATGGTTTGAGATGTTGGAGGCGTACTCCATTGATAGTCAGGTATGGCTTGAGGTGTTGGAGGCGTACTCCATTGATAGTCAGGTATGGTTTGAGGTGTTGGAGGCGTACTCCATTGATAGTCAGGTATGGTCTTAGGTGTTGGAGGCGTACTCCATTGATAGTCAGTTATGGTCTTAGGTGTTGGAGGCGTACTCCATAGATAGTCAGGTATGGTTTGAGGTGTTGGAGGCGTACTCCATTGATAGTCAGGTATGGTCTTAGGTGTTGGAGGCGTACTCCATAGATAGTCAGGTATGGTTTGAGGTGTTGGAGGCGTACTCCATTGATAGTCAGGTATGGTTTGAAATGTTGGAGGCGTACTCCATAGATAGTCAGGTATGGTTTGAGGTGTTGGAGGCGTACTCCATTGATAGTCAGGTATGGTTTGAGGTGTTGGAGGCGGACTCCGTTGATAGTCAGGTATGGTTTGAGGTCACAAGGTGGACGTGATTGAAGATTGGTTCTTGTTCCATGTGTTTCAGGTGCTGGAGGCGTGCGCCAAGTGCTTCGAGTTTTTCTGCAGTGACGAGTATGCCGTAGCCGGCAAATGTGATGTGGCAAGAAAGACTGTTATAGACGGTCTCACTGTGAAGTTCAGAGAAGCTTTGCAAGACTATTTCACAGAGGTAGGTACAAATAAGGCTCTCGGATGAGCGATGTATAGTCCAAAGTCAAACTAGCAAGCCCGTATAGATATCTATCGCTGCCACCAGTCATGGTCAGTCATAAACCTTTTCAAAATTAAATATGATGGCATTCCCAAAGACATAAACAAAAGTATGAACATTACCACATTTGGGGTTAGAGGGCAAATTTCAAAATTGTAATGGCTGAGCCCACACTGGTGGCAGCGATTTTACAGAGAGTGTAACGAAGGTGTCATGCGCTGTGAAGGAGTTTGGTTTGTCTACAACCAGGGGAGGTAACTCTAAATTCTACTCACTTCCTGCCAATGACATCCCTTGACATTTTATCAACACTTCAGTAACTTGCTGCCACTGACAATTACTATGAATAAACTTTCAACAATCTCTAATGTTCACAGTCATTGATTAATTGTAGGGGGAGCAGCCAGATGATGATGAAACCTTCGCCCTAGCGGCCAGCCTGAAGAGGATGTATGCGTTCAACAGGTGAGTCTGGAATTCTTATTTTATGTAGCATTATTTCATTTAATTGACAAAAATATATCTTGATTCGCAGTCATCTGTATTGAGTTCTTTAAGAAATGGACATATTAGTAGAAAATATTCTCCCCATGTTTTTTGTATTTTACTCATTGTCATTTTAAGCCAAAGGTTATGATTTTTTTTTATTGAATGTCATTTCTACAAAGAGGTTAGTGTAAACATAAGATTTGTGACATTTGTGATTAATAATGTCAAAGCATTCTGGTTTCAACAGTGCAGCAGTAAATCAACATAAATCTGTATAATGTACATTTGCAAATTACCCGTGAAGATCCGGGGTAGAATAGGTCTTCAGCAACCCATGCTTGCTATAAAAGGCCGCTAGTCTTGTCGTAAGAGGCGTCTAATAGGATCGGGTGGTCAGGCTCGCTGACTTGGTTGATGCATGTCATCAATATCAATTGCGTGGATCAATGCTCATGATGTCTATCACTGGATTGTCTGGTCCAGACTTGATTATTTACAGACCGCCGTCATATAGCTGGAATATTGCTGAGTGCGGCGTTAAACAACAAACAAACAAAACATTTGCAAATATGAGATGGTTATTGCAATCAATCATTTCTGGTGTCCCGTTCAGTGATATTGTGAAGAATGCTATAAGTGATGTTAAACTCACTCTCTCAGTCACTCCTCTAAAGTGTTGATTTATGTGTTTCCTGAGGTAAAAGAGGTACTTGTTTTCAGTTGCCATGATCTGAGTAGCTGGGATGTTTGGGAGGATGTGTTCCACATCGTCAAGACAGCCAACGAACATGGAGGCATGCCGGAAGAGGTAAGCATATAGTTTACAGGATTGAATTTGTCCCCAGCATCTATGCTGGTCGTAAGAGGCGGCTTTATGGACCAAATGGTCCTGGGTTCGAATCCCGGTTCGCCCCGATTATGTTTCTAAGTTTGTCAGCACCATACCCGTGCTCGTGAGTTTCACCGAAGTGGTAAACGTCTGAGACCTGCATCACTTTGGGCTTTCCTCCCACATCAAGCTGACACGCCTTGATATAACTGAAATACTTTTCCAAATGGTGTTAGACCTTACTCATGCTCACTCACTCACTCACTCACTCACTCACTCACTCACTCACTCACTCACTCACTCACTCACTCACTCACTCACTCACTCATTTATTTATTTTTGAGATTAAAGAAATTAGGTTTCCCTAATTTTGACCTTAAGCATGAAAATCCCTGGGTAAAGAATCATTTGTTTCACTCTGAATTTGAATTTTACCCATACTTGAAATAACACAACTTCATTGAGCAGAAAAACATATTTGCGTAGATGTCTTCCTGTTTACACACAACAGTAAAATATTGTATTTATACACTTGAAAGTTAATGACAGGAATTTTCATATTTCCATCAAATGAGGTTTTAATATGTTATAAAAGGTCAAATAATGAAGAAATACTACCAAAATGTTTTGTTTACACTGTTGCCATGTTTTCAGATCATCTGTAGCGCGATGTCGACATGTTCCATGTATCTACTGTGGGGACAGCAGGCTCTTGATGAAAGCAATCCAGACAAGGTCAGTGTCACTGGGTCTCTACCCTGATTCCTGGGGTAGTGTATTCACCTGGATTTAGGGGCGGTCGGGTAGCCTAGTGGTTAAAGCGTTCGCTCGTCACGCCGAAGACCCGGGTTTGATTCCCGACATGGGTACAATGTGTGAAGCCCATTTCTGGTGTCCCCTGCCATGATATTGCTGGAATATTGCTAAAAGCGGCGTAAAACCGTACTCACTCACCTGGATTTTGTATTGCAATATTGAGAATCTCACCCTCGTGTCTTTTGATATCAAATATATCAACACGAGTTGATAAAAGCGGGAAAACTCTGAGGCTTGCTGAGGATTTTTTCCACTTTTATCAACGAGTGTTGATATATTTGATATCAAAAGACACGAGGGTGAGATTCTCTATATCATCCAACATCATTCTTCCAACTTTTTCAGTTTGTAGACAGTAATAAGCAGTGTCTTAAGTGTAAAAAGTACTGCAAACAGCTTCAGTAGCCGAGCCATTAGTGATGTCATTTGATTATGACGCCATGGTAACCAATGACGTCACAATGGTCTGCAAAGCATTGTGATGCAATTTCATCGCTTTGTGCAAGCGGGCCCTGAATGTCTTTTCAAATCAAATATATCACCATGAGTCAACAAAATTATAATATTCTGAGGCTTGTCGTGTAATGAGTTGATTTCTTTGTTATCAAAATACATGTGGATATATATTATCCCCTATATAATGCGACCAGTGAAGATCCGGGGGTAGAATAGGTCTTCAGCAACCCATGCTTGCCGTAAAAGGTGACTATGCTTGTCATAAAAGGTGACTAACGGGATCAGGTGGTCAGGCTCACTGACTTGGTTGATGCATGTCATCGATCCCAATTGTGTGGATCGATGCTCATAATATCAATCACTGGATTGTCTGGTCCAGACTCGATGATTAACAGACCGCCGTCATATAGCTGGAACATGCTGAGTGCGGCGTTTAACAACAAACAAACAAACAAACAACAACAACAACAACCTGAAGGTAAATCATTCAACCCGCAGGAACTGATGAAGTTGCTGAAGCGACGTTTGAACGAGCTGATGAAGAACTGTCACGATCTCATGTTTCATCAACTGTCCAAAGTCAATGAGGAGGTACGTCAACCCACCGCTGGGCATGGGGAAGAGTTAGTCAAATGTCAGACACTGAAATGTGGAAGGGTTTTATCTAGACCTGCTCAGGGGCTGATTTTTGGGCAAAGTCTCCAGCAAATGTCAGAAATATTTCCAAAATTGGTGTTAATAGTTTTCCAACTCATGTTAATATAGTTATTAATACTGTTCTGGTTTTGTAGAGGTGACTTGTGTTTCACTTAAACAGGTACAGTGAAGAAAAGGCTTTAATGTTCACTTTAGTTTTAGACACGTGAAAATTCGGGGTGGAACAGGTCTTCAGCAACCCATGCTTGCCGAAAAAGGCGACTATGCTTGTCGTAAGAGGCGACTAATGGGATCGGGTGGTCAGGCTCGCTGACTTGGTTGATGCATGTCATCGTATCCCAATTGCAATGATCGATGCTCATGATGTCAGTCACTGGATTGTCTGGTCCAGACTCGATAATTTACAGACCACTGTCATATAGCTGGAATATTTCTGAGTGTAATGTTAAACAACAAACAAACAACAGTTGAATTTTGTTTTATGTAACTAAATGCCATGTTAATACTTCTGAATTTAGGAAAATAAGAGCATAAAAAGAATCCCCATTTTGAACAAGCTAACAATTTTTTCTGAATTTTCTGTGAATCCAAGATAAATCCATGATGTAAGGGTTGGTCAAGTTCAGGACAGTTGAATGCAGATGACCAATTGCCCAGCTTCAAGCTCTCAGTAAAGTTTTAAGTATTGTCTTGCCTTCTAGGAGATCAGGGGCGGTCGGGTAGCCTAGTGGTTAAAGCGTTCGCTCGTCACGCAGAAGACCCTGGTTCGATTCCCGACATGGGTACAATGTGTGAAGCCCATTTCTGGTGTCCCCCAGCCGTGATATTGCTGGAATATTGCTAAAAGTGGCGTAAAACCAAACTCAGTCAGTCAGTCTAGGAGATCATGTTTCAGTGCCAGATACACGATCCAGGAACTTGTGCTCCAGTCGCTGTGATTGGTTACTGCAGTGACATATACTGTAAATCTTGAAATTAACGCAAGCGTGAATTAAATGTGAAAAATGCGAGTGGTCTTTGCTCGCATTTTTAAACATCGCATTTATATCAGCAATAAGACATTTTGGATAGCAAAAATACCAACTTAGACATACGCTGATGTATTCCACACCACTGTTTATTGAGCAGCACTTGTATATAAAGTATATAAACAATGTCATTCAAACACTAATTACATCCTGTGAATTGTCACTGCTGGGGTCAAGACAAGAGTTCTACTCACTTATGTCATCACTGATCACACCTGCAAGTCCAGACAGACGCCACCCTTTGTTCTTTGCGACTGCGTCAAAGGCCGACACGGGCCAGCACGCGTGTATTGTTTTTGCGGAAGTACTTTACTCAGCGCTAATAAGCGGTGCTATTTGGTGTGTGATTGGATCAATGTAAGGTTGGATTAAGGTGAGGATTCTAAACCTGACTGAGGACATCTTTAGATAGAAATCCACTGATGCTTGAGAGGAGGGGTGTCGCATTCATATTGAGTCGCATTTTTGGCTAGGGTCCAGTGGTCGCACTTTTGGAGAAGCATTAATTTCACGATTTACAGTATATATATATCGAAACTGTTTAGACAAAGGTCTATTGTCAGCTTTCACAACAAGTCATGATTTATTTGTTTCGACAATTGAATAGAATTTGTCATGTACGAATGAATTATATTTGTGTTTTTCGGTGTGTCGTCACGTATTCTTGATTGTTATTGCAGGCGTATGTGACAATCTGTGACCTGCTCGTTGTGTTCAGCAAGCACCTGGGAGAAAACGCAGTAATGAAACCACTCGTGTTCGAGCCGGACAAGAACATGCATCTCCATCTGAGCAACTTCCTGTCCGAGAAAGTCTTTGTAGAGGACGATGATGGTCAGTGAGAGGCTTGTTAAGCCAAAGGGCTACCTACCTGCCTTATTTTGAAATTACCGTATTCGATGTAATAAGCGCCCAGGGCGCTCTCAAAATTAGAAATAGGGGGCTCTTATTAGAAAATTATTTTGGTGAAAAAAACAGAGTAAAAGGATAAATTTTCGTGGTTTATGCTGACAGCCTGAAATGTTTATATACGACCGATATATTCTTCCAGAATTTAATTGCCCATAATTAAGGGTGCATGTAACACACGAGTTCGTATTATACGCGAATAAATAAGTTTTGTGTACATTGATCAATCGGAAGGGGTCCTAATTGGTATTGTTCACAAGCCAATATGTTAGCAAATATCGCCGTGGGCGCTTATTAGAGCGGGGCGCTTATTACGTCGAATACGGTAACTGTATTTGTAATATTTTGGGTTCACCGACATATAGCTGGAATATTGCTGAGTGCGGTGTTAAACAACAAACAAACAAATTTAAAAAAAACGCATTTCTAAGGCTGTTATGGGAGTATTTAATTTGATTCCAGACGATGTGGATGAGAATGTGAAGATTGAGGATTTCTAAGGCTGTTATGGGAGTATTTAATTTGATTCCAGACGATGTTGATGAGAATGTGAAGATTGAGGATTTCTAAGGCTGTTATGGGAGTATTTAATTTGATTCCAGACGATGTGGATGAGAATGTGAAGATTGAGGATTTCTAAGGCTGTTATGGGAGTATTTAATTTGATTCCAGACGATGTTGATGAGAATGTGAAGATTGAGGATTTCTAAGGCTGTTATGGGAGTATTTAATTTGATTCCAGACGATGTTGATGAGAATGTGAAGATTGAGGATTTCTAAGGCTGTTATGGGAGTATTTAATTTGATTCCAGACGATGTTGATGAGAATGTGAAGATTGAGGATTTCTAAGGCTGTTATGGGAGTATTTAATTTGATTCCAGACGATGTTGATGAGAATGTGAAGATTGAGGATTTCTAAGGCTGTTATGGGAGTATTTAATTTGATTCCAGACGATGTTGATGAGAATGTGAAGATTGAGGATTTCTAAGGCTGTTATGGGAGTATTTAATTTGATTCCAGACGATGTTGATGAGAATGTGAAGATTGAGGAGCTCCACAAGAGAAGGAATTTCCTGGCCTGTTTCTGTAAGCTCATCGTGTACAACATCGTCTCCATCAAAGTAGGCGCCGACATGTTCAAGCACTACATGAAGGTACGTTCGGAAGACAATGAAACTCATTAAATTGAAAATGACTATCTGTTCTAGATCACCCCTGCTGTCTTACCCTATATTTAAAGGAGGCACGGGTGGCCCAGTCGTCTAAGACCCCGCGATTTGCTGTGCAGAGTTGTGTCCCTTGGGCACGCCAGAAACCTATGATTGTGGGTTCGAATCCCGGTTCGTCCCGATTATGTTTCTAGGTTTGTCAGCACCATACCCGTGCTCGTGGGTTTCACCGAAGTGGTAAATGTCTGAGACCTGCATCACTTCAGGCTTTCCTCCCACATTAAGCTGACACGCCGCGATATAACTGGAATACTGTTAAAAGCGGCGTTAAAACCCAACTCACTCACCCTACATTTAAGGTACATGAATGTTATTGGTCAATGAGACTTGTGAAGATCTGGGTAGAGAATAGGTCTACAGCAACCCATGTTTGCCATAACAGGCGACTATGTTTGTCATAAGAGGTGACTAACAGGATCAGGTGGTCAGGCTTGCTGACTTGATTGATACTTGTCATCGTATCCAAATTGCGAAGATCGATGCTCATGATGTCAATCACTGGATTACCTGGTCCAGAATTGATTGTTTACAGACCGCTGTCATATAGTGCGGCATTGAACAACAAACACAAATTCACGTAATCTTGCCTTAAATCAAAGTTATACAAGAAAATATCAACATACCACCTGAACTAAAAAACAACAAAAAATGTTGGGATTTCCTGAAAATTATCCCATTATTCTGTTCGTGTGAAAGAGCAACCGGTGTTCACAACATGTGCATGTCACAATCGACGGCATGTTCACTTCTCATGCTGTCAGAAGTTGGTTTGCTTTGCCAGACATGGCGTTGAACAATAAACACACAAACAATATTAGTCAATGATGTACAATGCAGTGTTACTGTGTAAAAGTGGACAAAATATCACCCACCATCAGGGGGCGGTCAGGTAGCCTAGTGGTTAAAGCGTAAGCTCGTCACACTGAAGACCTGGGTTCGATTCCCGGCATGGGTACAAAATGTGAAGCCCATTTCTGGTGTCCCCCGCAGTGATATTGCTGGAATATTGCTAAAAGCGGTGTAAAACCATACTCACTCACTCATACTCACTCGCCCACTATCGTGACAACAGATGGTCTCAGCAATCACTGCACTTCAAGATCCTTGATGCAAATCAGCATTGTGTCCTATAGACCAATGAAGGACCGATGATGTCTTACAGCCTAAGAATTTATATGATCTTGTTTCCAGTTCTACAATGATTACGGAGACATCATCAAGGCCACGTTAAGCAAAGCCAGAGAAATCAACAAGATCACAACAGCCAAAACACTGGCCCTCAGTCTAACACAGGTGAAATAACATAAATGTTTCTCTACGTCATATAGAAGGGGATGCAACTCATTGTAGAGAGTTGTCTCCCTTAGCTGTGCCAGAATCCACCGCCTCACATATGATTCCCATGCTTGTTGAGTTCACCAAAGTGGCCAATGACTTTCAAAAACTTTGGGCTTTTCACTGAAGCACTGTTCAGTTTGGCATAAAACCTACAATCACAAACTCAACTAGTAGTATTTTGACAACAGGTGATCACGTTTTAGAATAGATCTCACGTAATCAGTACTTGACAACAGCAATGCCAATCATGGTGATCATTGGACGTTGCTCTTATTATCCATCATTGGTTTGTCTGGTCTAGTGCTGATTATAGTTTTCACTGTAATAATCACCTTTGCGCTTTGAAAAATTGACAAAGGTGTTTTTTTTTCAAACCATAGTGAAGAAACTTAGTTCAATTGTTGATGCAACTTAAACTTTATCGATATTAGTTTCAAGGCAATAATGTATCCCTCCTGCTCTGCTGTTTTCTGTAAAACATCTGTAATATACACAAGAAAATATGGACTGTTTCGGACTTGGTAGGGGGCACTTTTATGGATTACTTACAGATTGGTGTAAAAGTTGTTCAGGGGGTGCTTACTGGAACTGGGCACTTAATACTCCTCGCTATGATATGACTGGAGTATTGCTGACTGCAGCTTAAGCTACAAACAAAACAATGACTTGGGTCTTGTCTTCTCCATTAAGCTGACGTGCTGTGGTATGACTGAAATATTATGTGAAGCCCACTATTCACTCACTCATTCACTCACTCTGCTGTGGACCCATGAAGATCCGGGGTAGAATAGGTCTTCAGCAACCCATGCTTGCCATAAAAGGCGACTAACGGGACCGGGTGGTCAGACTCGCTGACTTGGTTGATGCATGTCATTGATCCCAATTGCGTGGATCAATGCTCATGATGTCAATCACTGGATAGTCTGGTCCAGACTCGATTATTTACAGACCGCTGTCATAGAGCTGGAATATTGCTGAGTGCGGCGTTAAACAACAAACAAACAAACACTCACTCATCGCACACAACCCAGGTACTCACACTATTAAGTTATGATACTTATGCATGAAATGTTTTATTTCTAGCTTTTCAAAGAATTACAAGTGGAGCAGGGTCAGATTGAGAGGTCATCGGATGCGTTCCAGTCTATAAAGGTGAGACTTCCTTGACGGCAAGTGTGAATGTTCAGGAGATACCTCTAGGTCTGAGCATTGATTGGCCATCGTACTATTGCCCACTGACAGTGACACTAAACCTTTCTAAAATAAGATCCATATGGTGCATACTACTCATTGAAGTCTTAGGAACCCCTGATTCTATATTACTATAGTTCATCTGTTATGGCATGATACGTTCCTTTCATATTACTATGGTTAAGCGTGCAGTGGGATAGCCTAGTGGCTAAAGCTTTTGCTCGTCACGCCAAAGACCTAGGTTTGATTCCCCTAATGGGTACAATGTGAGAAGCCCATTTCTCTTGTTCCCCTGCCATGATATTGCTGGAATATTGTCTTGCTTGAATCAGTGTAAAACTATACTCACTCACTCATTCACTCTGGATTTTGAGAAGATTCATTCAGATACATTTATGTTTATGCTCCGATGCCAAGAGTTATTGAATGTGTTTTCAGGAACTGGCGAGAAGATTTGCGTTGTCTTTTGGTCTGGATCAAGTTAAAAACCGAGAAGCAGTTGCCGCCATGCACAGGTGAGGGAGAGTTTTTGCATCCACTTCATATTGGATGAACAGGGGCACTTGTGAACTAAGTCACTTGCCCATGGTGACACCACACGTTTTGACACTTGTGTTTCGGGTGTATGTATTATTCGTGTTTCTGCCATCTGGTCACCCACCATCGGACGAGTGGGTTCTTTTGAGTGCACAGGGTGTTTGTACTGTACACTCGGGGTGTGACAACACTGTGAGGACCTGTAAACATTGTTGGCCCTAAGGCTGATTAACAACCCGGTCACTTGCGGGATACGATCTCAGCACCTGGCACTTGCTGCCAAGTATTTGAATATGTGCAGAACCCGTGAAGATCGGTGTTAGAACAGGTCTTCAGCAACCCATGCTTGCCGTAAAAGGCGACATTGCTTGTTGTAAGAGGTGACTGACGGGGTCAGGTGGTCAGGCTCGCTGACTTGGTTCATGCATGTCATTGTATCTCAATTGCGTGGATCGATGATCATGATGTCAATCACTGGATTGTCTGGTCCAGACTTATTTATTTACAGACCACCATCCTATTGCTAGAATATTGCTGTGCAGCGTTAAACAACAAAACAAACAAAAAGAATATGTGCAGAAAGAGATAGCTGCCTAAATGTGATACACATTATTAACACCATTATTATACCCCCGACAAATGTATATAGTTATACCAAGGTTCTCTTCAGTGGATTTATCTCAAACTTAGTACATATAATCTGTGTCATATGAAGGGGTGCAGTCAAAAGAAAAAAATTGTTTTTATTAATTATCCATTTTTTAATGAATTTTTCAAACCCTAACGTCCGTCCGAACACTTTGTCCTCTCGATTTCTCTTAAACTATTCAGTGGATTCATCTCAAACTTACTACATATAATCTGTGTCATATGGAGGGGTGCAGTCAAAAGAAAAAAATTGTTTTTATTAATTTTCCATTTTTTTATGAAATTTTCAAACCCTAACCCTATCCTCGTATTTAATTTGAAACTACTGACACACTTGGCGGGTCGGGGGCATTTGTGAGCCACGCTCACTTTTTTTTCTTGTTTTTCTTCTAAATCACTTACCCACCCTACCATTCACTCACTCACTCAATACCCACCCACTCACACACCGGGTCATAAGAGGTATCTAATGGATTGGGTGGTTTGATGGCATGTCAATGTACCCTGACAGCCTCAATCATTGAATTGTCAGTACAGACTGCCGTCATACAGCTGGAATATTCCCGAGTGAGGCATTAACCATCTCTCTCCTTCACTTACCGTATATCGCTGTGTATAAGGCGACCCCACGTATAAGACGACACCCCTGTACACGCCTTCAAAATCAACCCAAAATCCTATACTCCGTGTATAAAGCGACCTGGAATGAAGCACATCAAAAGTGCACACACAAACCTTATATTTGCAATATAAATATGTTTATCTTGCGTTGTTTTTTCTACGATGATTGGTCGCGTGCGTAACTCCAGCACATGTCGCCATTTTGTGTTTACACGATACGACACCAAATTGGTGCCCGTAAAATAAAATTAATTTCTGAAGTAATAACATTAGAGACAATGGTAGGTAATTTAATGGCCAATTAACTATGTTGTAACTAACTAGGCTTATGTTTGCCTCACATTCAGCGTGTTTATTCCACAATCACTTATAAACACCGTCTCCAACAGTTGTTAATACAACTTTATAAACAACGGGAATTGATTTCAGCTCCACCGGTTGTCACATGTTAGGTCACATGTGCAATATGCAAATGCTTACTGGTACTTCCGGCTCTCTACTCACGGATGTTGATTGTTTTACCTTGGCAGCTCGATCGAGGCGAGGGTCATTTCAACTTTATTTGCAGGAATTATTAAACCTTACTCAAGGAAAACAGATACAAATCATGTTTATTTATGGAAATAGTTATTGCACGCACACACTCACTCCCTCTTCTTTCTATGAAGGGAGGGGATCATCTTCAGTCTACTGAGCCAAGAGGGGCGGGACCCTGCCGACGCCCCTCACAACATTGCCTTCCTTGAAGTCCTGTGTGAATTCACCAACAAGCTGATGAAACAGGACAAGAAAACAGTGTAAGTATTGCCTGCTGAGTTCATCTTCAGGGTAGGTGGGCACGGGTGGCCCAGTTGTCTAAGGCGCAGCGATTTGCTGTGCAGAGTTGCGTCCCTTCGGCACGCCAGAAACCTATGATTGTGAATTCGAATCCCGGTTCGCCCCGATTATGTTTCTAGGTTTGTCAGCACCATACCCGTGCTCGTGTGTTTCACCGAAGTGGTAAACGTCTGAGACCTGCATCACTTTGGGCTTTCCTCCCACATTAAGCTGACAGGCCGCGATATAACTGTAATACTGTTAAAAGCGGCATTAAACTCAACTCACTCACTCATCTTCAGGGTAGAACTCACACAATGTCACCTCCCTGTTGTGGTTTATGTGAAACAACCAGATTTAGCAAGTTAACATTTTGTCCTAATTTTCACTTTTCTTGTGATTAGTAGTAATCTTAACACAGGGTGCTGATGTGGCACGATATAAGTTGTAGCAGGATCACGAGGGGTACATGGGGTTTTATGTGTCCCACGTGAGGTTTTATACCCCTCATCCTGCTACAACGAATTTATCTTACTGACATGTTTTAATATGACGTTGTAATGACATCTGTTCGATTGAGCTTGTGCTATGTCACATGACTTTCACTGACTCGGAAAATGTGTGCTCCAGTTTGCGGGGTATAAGGGATTTATTCCGCCTCTCAGAAATCTCACGTGAAACCTGTTTTGCTCGTGGTGGGGTATAAGGGATTTATTCTGCTTTTTAGAAATCCACGTGCAGCCTGTTTTGCTCATGGCGGGGTATAAGAGATTTATTTGCCTATCAGAAATCCATGTGTATCCTGTTTTGCTCATGGCAGGGTTTAAGGGGTTTACTCACCCACTGAGAAATTTGTTTTCTCTCCAAGGCATGATACATACTATTTTATCAAGATAACTTTGACCAATCAGATCTCGTCATTCAGACATGGAGGTATGATAATGCCCAATGTTCAGTAGCTCACCTTTAGTATTGTTTTTCTCTCACAGGGTTCAGTATCTGGACAAACAGTTGCCGCAGGGCATGCCGGTGAGCGGAAGCGAGGAATGGCAGCCGCTGCTGACGTACAGAAACAGTCTGGTGCAGGGCGAGGGGGAAATTAACCCCATCACACTGAAGGAGGCCACAAAACGCCGCTACGGCAAGCGGAAACAAGATGGTGGGTCCCAGCCGAAAGGTATCCCAGATTATGGTACTTGGCATGCCGCTTTGGCCGCGCTTGAGGTCAGCGTCGTCGCATGTCAGTGGCTGAGAGCTGTCGTACCCTGTGTTGTCTGTATGGTCGCTTGCTCAGCTGGATTAAAATGCACCATGGTTCGCCAAGTATTTTTATTTTCAAGATTGTTGCCTTGAGTTGATTTCAAAATATTTGCCGATGTTTTGTCTAGGGGGGTGTGTGGAATCAATCAGCATACATAGAGAGTAACAATCTAGGATAGTTGCAACAAACCTGCATATAAATAGTCTATTTAACTGACAAGTTAAATTAATCAATTAGTTTTGTTTGTTTTGTCGTGTTTGTTTTTTGCAAACTAGAATATTTTTTTTTATGAAGGCATTAGTAATTAAATTACTAACTACTAATTTAGAGCATGAGAATGGCTTGTTGTTGTTTTTTAAAAGTTTTGTGCTTTGTTGGGTGGGAGGGTTTCCAAAAGTTATCACGACACAGTTCTATTAGTTCAAATAAGAATTTTTTTTTAAAATTAAAATTATTTTGGGACTGTTTATTTATTATGTAAAACTGTAAATATGTGATGAAATTACTCGTTCCAATGAAGTCCTTTCCATCGAAACCTACTTTGCTATTTTGACTTTTATTTCTGAATATTTTGAAAATGCATGTTTGATAGAACAGTGTCTAGCTTGCAGTGATTATGTTTTGAGTCAGACTGTTAATGTTGTCATTTGAATACAGTGCAATAGGAACTAGAAACTAAATAAAGCATTTTTATTGTCTCCTTATTGAGAGAATGTTCCAACATACACCCATATTATCCTTAGGGTGTCAACACAACACCGGTACCTGCTCATACACCTGTGGTGCCGGGTAATCGTCGTAAATCTACAACACTTTTTGCATTAAATCCTTGTTAAGCTGACACACTGTGATATTTCCAGAGCTCCAGATAAGCTGCGTATCTGCGTAAAATATGCATCAGAAATGCAGAAATATGCAGTAAATTAAAATCCAACGAACATTACAGATACACTACAAAAATAAAACTTGTGCGTATCATCAAAATATTGTGAAGTAACCCTGCGTATTCGATTAGCAAATCAGCAACTTATTTTGTAATTATATAAGGGCATTCCGTCAACCTTGCCAAACTCCCAAGATGACAGTTACATCACGATCATTTGCCATCACACTTTCTTGTGGAAGTATCGTGGTATTTTTGAGTCTTATAAAGCTCTCGAACCCACACGACACCAGTTTGCAGGGACTAGATGAATAGTGTTTTTAAATAATTAACTTAAATCCCCACATGTGTAAAAACTAGTGGGTAACAGAAATTTGAATACCCAGATAGTATTACTGATACTCAATGATTTTAAAATGTATGGGTAAAATACCCACAACACCAAAAGCTTATCTGGAGCTCTGAATTTCTGAAATACTGTTCAGAGCAGTTAAAACTAGTTAAACCAAATTCATTCACTGACACACTGGCAACGAATACACTATGAGGCGAATATGATTCGTATCAGGAATATAGGGTAGCGAATATGAATATTAATTCACGAATACAATAACAAGTCAGCGGTTGATGTATTATTTGTTATATTCTGTGAAACAATAACATAAATTATTTGACATGGTTTGTTACTTATTAAAATATTATACATTTATGTACTGCACTTATCCTAATACTGGTATCTGCACAAATGCGACAATGACCAGTGACCACAATACCGTCAAATTAAATAGGAATGTTGTTTTTGAAGAAATCTATGCATATAATCATGATAATATGTTCTTAATTATGCATGTAATTTGTTGTGGATTTTATTTTAAGTTATTTTACGTCCAGTTTCCACCCTTGCTGACCTAGGCTGGTATTATGGAGTTACATTTTGGCTGGACTAACGAGCCTATGCATAGTCCAATCAAAATCACGCACCAAATCGAATTCCGGTTCGTAAACTGTCATGCAGATTTCGGTCGATTGCAGGATTTGCACATGGTGTGCATCGCCAACTTGTCAACAGATATTTTCCAAATCTTTTCAAGCCTTTAATCAAGGTGCTCATGTGATTTGATGCACTGCGTTATGTAAGACCCGTTTTCTCACAATATAGATCTTTATTATCGATCAGATCGTCTTGACTGGGCGCTGCCATTTTGTTTGAAGCAAATGCAAGTGATACGAGAGGTGGAATCTGATTGGTCCATAGGAGAGGCATAGAAGGGACTTAACTCGAAACAGCCACTGGTGGCGCTACAATCGAGCCCAGTAATTCCATACTAGTTCTGCAAGGGTGGAAACTGGACTTTTAAAGTCTCTTGCCTCGGGAAGATAGAATAAGAAGACATTAACCACCATTTTGTTAGGGAGTGTTTGTGTAAGTTGTCATGTACTGGTGATATCAAAATGTCTGCAGAAGAAATTACACCAACGTGATGAGCACTGATTGTTCCACTTACAGCTGACGAGAGTGGATTTGAACCCCAGACCCCTGCCCCGATGAGCGTACCCCCGTTGACCTCAACTGTCCAGAAGCGACGGAGAATAGACGAGACTATCTCAGAACAGGGATCTGAGCAAGACTTTGTGGACGATACGTGAGTTTTCTATGTTGTTATTTGGGATCTTTGTTGTTCTTACTCTTTCACAAAGCCACAATACCTTGCATCGTCATTCCTTCCCACTACCAGCATGGTGCTGGCTAATGAGGGTGGTCCTCGCCAAGTTTTGTTTGTTGTTTAACACCGCACTCAGCAATATTCCAGCTATATGACGGCGGTCTGTAAATAATCGAGTCTGGACCAGACAATCCAGTGATTGATGTCATGAGCATCGATCCACGCAATTGGTAGTCTGCATGTAATATTCCTTCATTGAAAACTTACTTGAAAATAAATTCATAGACCAGCGGGGATTTAAGAATAAGGATCCAAACATGGCTATGATCACATACTGTATTCGACGTAATAAGCGCCCCGCTCTAATAAGCGCCCGCGGCGACATTTGGAAAGATATTGGCTAGTGAACAATCCTGATTAGCACCCCTTCCGATTGATCAATGTACACAAGACTTATTTATTCGCGTATAATACGCACCCGTGTGTTATATGCACCCTTAATTATGGGCAATTAAATTCTGGAAAAAATCAGTATGTATCTGTACATAAACATTTCAGGTTGTCAGCATAAACCAATAAATTTATCTTTCAATATTATTCTATGAGAGCCCCTTATTTCTAATTTTGAGAGCGCCCTGGGCGCTTATTACGTCGAATACAGTACCTGCGTTTGCTTAAATGAACAATGGCCACATCTTACTTTGCACTTTCCTTTGTATATTTCGTTCACTTTTTGTTTTTTTTAATTCATGTTGTCATATTTTATTTCCTCACTTTAAGTTTTGTTTCTTTGTTTTTCAGTTTTTAGACCCCAGAATGTGTCCCAAGTTTTCACAGTGTGAGATAAATGTATATATGTAAAGATGTAATAAGAGACGTGGAATAAATATTCATATTTACCAGAATTCAGACACTGCCAGTCATAGTAACCCTTTCACTGCTGACCAAGTGTATGTAACATGGGATCATGTAGAATGTCTGTAGAATTAAGTTAAATCAAATTTTATTTATATATGTGTAAGTCAATATTTTTCATACACATTAATATGAAAGCTGATACGAATCAGATATCTTGTCTCTGATCCAAGATTGGTAATTGATTGTATGGTAGAAAAATAATTTGTGGGTGTGTCAGCTTTTGAAGGGTTACTGATATTCAATTCAGAGTGAGTTAAAGTGAGTTAAAATTTAACGTCGCATCGGCATTATTCCAGCCATATAGCGACGAGACCAAGTTTAATATGTTAACAATTGTATTCGATTCAGAACATGATGCTATATATTCGATTCAGAACATGATGCTATAAGGTTAGGTGTACATCTAGCAGTGGTCCCATATAGTGATTGAGTTACATAACGTGAGGCTGTTACAATGTTTCAATGAATTCTGTACCTGATGTCCGGCAAACCAGTTATCAGTCGTTACAAAGAGTAGGGTGACGTCACTGATTTATATCATGCTGGAAACACTTTCAAGCACAAGAAATAGCAATCACATTTTGTCCATCTGTTTTTCTACCTTGTCAATCATTATAAACACAGTGCTTCAGTATGTGTGGGTTATTTCTGTAGAACATCACAAGACCCTTGGATTTATCTTGTGTAGTAATATTTATATCTTCTCTATTAAGAGGAATATGATCGTATTCATTGGCTATTTGTATAAAGAATCACTATCCTTTCTAATGATGCATTTTTTTCCTTAGTGTATACATCATATTTTATAATTCAGTCGCTTTCAGTCTATGTATTTGTCTTTAAGACGTTCTTTTCAAAATCTGTCAATTAATAAAGCAGGGTTCATTCTAGAGATTTTCTGACATGGGCCCTTTATGTGAAAATTTAAAATATTCCAGAGGTACGCCCATACAGCACAGTGTTAAAATGCTCCATTGTATTTGAAAATGTGGACCTTTTTTTTCAAATTAAGGGGCTAAAAGCACAAGGCCCCACCCTAGAATCATTCCTGATAAAGGAATAATGATCCATGTACTGTTAGAATGCAATCTCATTAAAATCAGACCTTAGTTCTCGCTATCGCTAAACAAAGATGTGAGGACATCCCATTATGGGTCACTACAGAACGACCTTTCATCCGACCAATCAAAGCGTCGCTTACCAGATCATGAAAGTGACGGTCGGAATGTGTTTTCTAATCATGCAACCTCGAAAACGTTAACACGGGGTATTCCGTACGTCTGATTCCATCAAAATTATCATCTATCTCTCGCTTCCGTGGGATAAACATTTGAACGGAGGAGGTGTTGCACAGTACGTGGGAAGCACTGCCATACAATCTCAACCATATATTAGACATTCTGGACTGTTCGTTTGTTTAGTTTTCAAAATTTTAATCGAGAACTGTGTCAACATTTTTCAAGCGTAGTCTGAAATGGAAGATTGAAACGAGTGACGTAAAGCTCGAGAAATCTGCTTTCTAATTGGCTTATGTCGACTTCTTGTTAGTCATTTCAGTGGTCGGTCAAAGTTCACGAAAGGTCATTCTGACGTGACCCGTAATGGGATGTCCTCAGATCTTTGTTAAGCGGCAGCGAGAACTCGATCTGATTTTAATGAGACTGGTTAGAATGGGAATACTGAAGCACTGTGGTGGGTTGTTGTCACACTTATTCAAACTTCTGTTTCTCATTATTGTCTGTTCTGTTGCTTTGTAACTCCCACTGGTGTATCCTCCATTTTGGCTTCATTTTCATCCGATGCATTTTGTAAATAAATGCTCATTTTGTATGCCTTTCTTGTGTTCTTATTTCCACATTTGTTTTTGATTTTTCATCCACGGTGATCGTAACCCTTTCGTATTTGTGGAGGAGGAAACACAGGTTCTGCCAAAACAGCATGTGATGGATGGCAAAGTGATCAAAGATTTGGATCACTGTGTCCAGGAGCCCGTCCCACGATTAAATCTTAGATGTATGATTGTTGTCAGGGTTAAATTGTAGCAGCTACAGTTGTCTTAGATCACTATGTGGAAAGGATTTCAGGGCCCACTTGCACTGAGCAGTCTTAGAGCTATAATTGTCGTAAGTCGGTGTTAAAGTATAGCAGTTACATTATCTAAGTGCTAAGGTTGCTCATTGGACAAGGTTCCGGGCCCACTTGCACTGAGCAGTCTTAGAGCTACGATTGTCGTAAGTCGGTGTTAAAGTATACCAGTTTGATTATCTAAGTGCTAAGATTGCTCATTGGACAAGGTTCAGGGCCCACTTGCACTGAGCAGTCTTAGAGATACGATTGTCGTAAGTAAGTGTTAAAGTATAGCAGTTTGATTATCTAAGTGCTAAGATCGCTCATTGGACAAGGTTCAGGGCCCACTTGCACTGAGCAGTCTTAGAGCTACGATTGTCGTAAGTCGGTGTTCAAGTATAGCAGTTTGATTATCTAAGTGCTAAGATTGCTCATTGGACAAGGTTCAGGGCCCACTTGCACTGAGCAGTCTTAGAGCTATGATTGTCGTAAGTCGGTGTTAAAGTATAACAGTTTGATTATCTAAGTGCTAAGATTGCTCATTGGACAAGGTTCCGGGCCCACTTGCACTGAGCAGTCTTAGAGCTACGATTGTCGTAAGTCGGTGTTAAAGTATAACAGTTTGATTATCTAAGTGCTAAGATCGCTCATTGGACAAGGTTCCGGGCCCACTTGCACTGAGCAGTCTTAGAGCTACGATTGTCGTAAGTCGGTGTTAAAGTATAACAGTTTGATTATCTAAGTGCTAAGATCGCTCATTGGACAAGGTTCCGGGCCCACTTGCACTGAGCAGTCTTAGAGCTACGATTGTCGTAAGTAAGTGTTAAAGTATAACAGTTTGATTATCTAAGTGCTAAGATTGCTCATTGGACAAGGTTCCGGGCCCACTTGCACTGAGCAGTCTTAGAGCTACGATTGTCGTAAGTCGGTGTTAAAGTATAACAGTTTGATTATCTAAGTGCTAAGATCGCTCATTGGACAAGGTTCAGGGCCCACTTGCACTGAGCAGTCTTAGAGCTACGATTGTCGTAAGTCGGTGTTAAAGTATAACAGTTTGATTATCTAAGTGCTAAGATCGCTCATTGGACATGGTTCCGGGCCCACTTGCACTGAGCAGTCTTAGAGCTACGATTGTCGTAAGTAAGTGTTAAAGTATAACAGTTTGATTATCTAAGTGCTAAGATTGCTCATTGGACAAGGTTCAGGGCCCACTTGCACTGAGCAGTCTTAGAGCTACGATTGTCGTAAGTAAGTGTTAAAGTATAACAGTTTGATTATCTAAGTGCTAAGATCGCTCATTGGACATGGTTCCGTGCCCACTTGCACTGAGTAAACTCAGCGCTACGATTGTCGTAAGTCTGTGTTAAGTAAGGCAGTTACGATTATCTGAGCACTATGATCACTCTGTGTCACAGGGTCCAGCGCCAACTTGCATAGAGTGATCTTAGTACCAAGACTGTAGCTACTGCTACACCTTTGCATAGACTTACAACATTCATACCGCTAAGATTGCTCCGAGTAAGTTGTGCAGAGTTACACCTCAATATGGGTACCAGGGTTTTAAGGGTTGCAAATAATATGCACTGTGTGTCTCTTGGGACACAGAATTACATCTGTTGAAATTGTTAAAACTAATCCTGTTTGGGCTTTAATTGTATCCGTCTTTGGTGTTGAAGAAAATAGTACTCTTTTTTTTTATTGTTTTAATTTGATACATAATTGAGGAAAAATCGAATGTCACAGCTTGATTCGAACCCACAGAGGGTACACTGAAAGCTAAAACATGCAGGTGACAACAGGGAAGAAATCAGTGGAATTAACGTATTTACTGACACATGTGTTACACAAGGGATGGCACACATTGTTCTACTCCCTTAAGTAAATATGAAAATCAGAACAAAGTCTCAAGACAATACACACTTATCAATAAGCTGATGCTTGAAATTATTTTGATCACCTTCGTGGTCTAGTGGTGAACCATCCACGAGGAGAGCGGAAGGTCTGGGGTTCGATCCCCGGCCACATCATACCAAAAGACATTTAAAGATGGTACTTGTTGTTACCCTGCCTGGCGCTCTGCATTAAGGGGTTAAAACAAGGACTGGTCGGCTCGGGAGTCAGTAAACTGTGTCTGAGTGGGGTATTCATGTTAAACTGCGGCATAGTATCTCAATGGGATAGTGCTATGAAATCGGCATTAGTCCGGATAAGTACAAGTAGCTACACACACACATCCATGCACGTCGCTATATCAGTGCAATAATCTTGAATACAACCTTAAACCCCATTTCACCTCACCTCACCTCACCTCACCTTGACAGTATTTGAGCAATAACAAACATGACATTAATGCTGTGCAGAGTTGCGTCACTTGGGGACGTCAGAAATCCACGATCATGGGTTCCAATCCCAGTTCGCCCCCATTATGTTTCTAGGTTTGTCAGCACCGTAGCCGTGCTCCTTTGTTTTCACCGAAGTGGTAAACGTCTGAGACCTGCATCACTTCGGACTTTCCCCCCACATTACAATGACACGCCGTGATATAGCCCAACTCACTGATTACTTATTGAGAGTCGAAATGATTTGTGTCTCCACAAATTCACACCAGGCCATCCCACCGCATCAAGCTGACATGGTATGATATAACTGAATTACAGTTTAATGGGGCGTGAAACCAAACTCAAAACAGTCACATTTGAAATTTCACTGCATGTAACTTTCAGCTCATAAAGGAGTGATCAACAATGTCTTGGTGCCATGCAGAGTTGCGTCCCTTACTGGGACCAGTTCTCCAAGTACTAGCCACTATCTCGTACTAGCCACTATCTCCACCCCTCTCTACAAGCCCAGTCTCCAAGTACTAGCCTATATATACACTCTTTTCGAGCCCAGGCTCCAAGTATTAGCCACTATCTCCACTCTTTAAGGGCCCAGTCTCCAAGTACTAGCCACTATCTACACTCTTTATGAGCCCAGTCTCCAAGTACTAGCCACTATCTCCACTCTTAATGGGCCCAGGCTCCAAGTACTAGCCACTATCTACACTCTTTACGGGCCCAGTCTCCAAGTACTAGCCACTATCTCCACTCTTAATGGACCCAGCCTCCAAGTACTAGCCACTATCTCCACACAATATGCCCAGTCTCCAAGTACTAGCCACTATCTCCACTCTCTATGAGCCCAGTCTCCAAGTACTAGCCACTATCTCCACTCTCTATGATCCCAGTCTCCAAGTACTATCCACTATCTCCACTCTTTATGAGCCCAGTCTCCAAGTACTAGCCACTATCTCCACTCTCTATGAGCCCAGTCTCCAAGTACTAGCCACTATCTCCACTCTTTATGAGCCCAGTCTCCAAGTACTAACCACTATCTCCACTCTCTCAGAGCCCAGTCTCCAAGTACTAGCCACTATCTCCACTCTCTCAGAGCCCAGTCTCCAAGTACTAGCCACTATCTCCACTCTCTATGAGCCCAGTCTTCATGTACTAGCCACTATCTCCAATCTCCATGAGCCCAGTCTCCAAGTACTAGCCACTATCTACACTCTTTACGGGCCCAGCCTCCAAGTACTAGCCACTATCTCCACACAATACGCACCCAGTCTCCAAGTACTAGCCACTATCTCCACTCTTTACGGGCCCAGTCTCCAAGTACTAGCCACTATCTCCACTCTTTAAGGGCCCAGTCTCCAAGTACTAGCCACAATCTACACTCTTTATGAGCCCAGTCTCCAAGTACTAGCCACTATCTCCACTCTTAATGGGCCCAGGCTCCAAGTACTAGCCACTATCTACACTCTTTACGGGCCCAGTCTCCAAGTACTAGCCACTATCTCCACTCTTAATGGACCCAGCCTCCAAGTACTAGCCACTATCTCCACACAATATGCACCCAGTCTCCAAGTACTAGCCACTATCTACACTCTTTACGGGCCCAGCCTCCAAGTACTAGCCACTATCTCCACACAATACGCACCCAGTCTCCAAGTACTAGCCACTATCTACACTCTTTACGGGCCCAGGCTCCAAGTACTAGCCACTATCTCCACCCTCTACGAGCCCAGTCTTCATCTACTAGCCACTATCACCACTCTCTATGAGCCCAGTTCTCCAAGTACTAGCCACTATCTCCACTCTTTACGGGCCCAGTCTCCAAGTACTAGCCACTATCTCGAATCTCTATGAGCCCAGTCTCCAAATACTAGCCACTATCTCCATTCTCTACTAGCCCAGTCCCCAAGTACTAGCCACTATCTCCACCCCCTCTCCGAGCCCAGGCTCCAAGTACTAGCCACTATCTCCACCCCTATTTATGAGCCCAGTCTCCAAGTACTAGCCACTATCTCCACCCTCTCTCCGAGCCCAGTCTCCAAGTACTAGCCACCATCTCCACCCCTCTCTCCGAGCCCAGTCTCCAAGTACTAGCCACTATCTCCATCTCTCTATGAGCCCAGTCTCCAAGCACAAGCCACTATCTCCACTCTCTATGAGCCCAGTCTCCAAGTACTAGCCACTATCTCCACCCTCTCTCCGAGCCCAGTCTCCAAGTACTAGCCACCATCTCCACTCTTTATGAGCCCAGTCTCCAAGTACTAGCCACTATCTCCACCCCTCTCTACAAGCCCAGTCTCCAAGTACTAGCCACTATCTCCACTCTTTATGAGCCCAGTCTCCAAGTACTAGCCACTATCTCCACTCTTTATGAGCCCAGTCTCCAAGTACTAGCCACTATCTCCACTCTCTCAGAGCCCAGTCTCCAAGTACTAGCCACTATCTCCACTCTCTATGAGCCCAGTCTCCAATTACTAGCCACTATCTCCACTCTTTATGAGCCATCTCCAAGTACTAGCCACTATCTCCACTCTTTATGAGCCCAGTCTTCATGTACTAGCCACTATCTCCAATCTCCATGAGCCCAGTCTCCAAGTATTAGCCACTATCTCCACTCTTTATGAGCCCAGTCTCCAAGTACTAGCCACTATCTCCACTCTCTCCGAGCCCAGTCTCCAAGTACTAGCCACTATCTCCACTCTCTATGACCCCAGTCTCCAAGTACTAGCCACTATCTCCACCCCTCTCTCCGAGCCCAGTCTCCAAGTACTAGCCACTATCTCCACCCCTCTCTCCGAGCCCAGTCTCCAAGTACTAGCCACTATCTCCACTCTCTATGAGCCCAGTCTCCAAGTACTAGCCACTATCTCCATCTCTCCACTCTTGTGTATCTTTTGTTTTGCTGGGGACATTTTCATGATTTTTATGAAATATTGATAGTACATTCTTTGATATCACTACCTAATTTGAAAAAAGATAAATCTTTTGGACATTTTGAACGATAATCAGGCGTTGTCCTAGAAAATGAACTATCCTGTCCGTGCACTAACTGTATCTCTGCGGTGGTTGTAGTTCTGGTGCAGCAGCAATGGGGATGACGCAGTCACAGGTGTCGTGGCTCAACAGCCAGAAACAACAGCAGGAAATGCAGCGGACGGCTGAGGTCACGTACAGCAGAGGTCAACACCAACAGGTGTCTGGATAGTAAGTCACACACACACACACTCACACTCTCACACTCTCACTCACTCTCACACACTCTCAATCACTCTCACACACACTCTCAATCACTCACTCACACACACACATTCTCACATGCACAGAGACACACTCACACACACATTCTCACATGCACAGACACACACACACACATTCTCACATGCACAGACACTCACACACACATTCTCACATGCACAGAGACACACACACTCACACACATTCTCACATGCACAGACATACACACACACACACATTCTCACATGCACAGAGACAGACACACACTCACACACATTCTCACATGCACAGAGACAGACACACACTCACACACATTCTCACATGCACAGACAGACACACACTCACACACATTCTCACATGCACAGAGACACACACACAGACACACACATTCTCACATGCACAGAGACTCACACACATGGTCTCACACTCACACATACACATGCAGTCTCACACACACATTCTCACATGCACAGAGACACTCACCCACACACACTCACACACTCACCCACACACACACCACATACACACACAGTAAGTTGTCCATGTTTAATAAACTTATGTTAGTTCCTGTTTTCTGACTACGTTCTTCACCTCCAGCCCCCAGCAACACTCGGTGCCGTCAGAGAGTGATCAGGCTAGCAACATATCGGAGTTTTCCAGCCCTGTTCCCACTCCCCAGACCCCACAGGGGTACTACCACCACCCTCAACAACATCAACAGCAACAGCAGCTACAACAGCAACATCCGCAGCAGCAGCAGCAGCAGCAGCAGCAGCAACACCCACAACAAGGTCAATTTTATGGCGGCGGCCTGCTTGGCGAGAACCATTATGTTGATGATGCTTCAGTGAGTGGTAACCGTGGCAACGCTGGTTTTTTAAAATACTCAGACATGATGGTCACTGCCCGATGATAAAAAAGATTTTAAAATCTCTAACAAGTATTCCTGAGTTGAAGAGAGTGTATTGTGTTTGGGGAAAATACAGTGTTCGAAACTATATAATGAAATTAATGTTAACAGTATGAGCAACGATGATGCACAGATTATAAAGTCAGACAATCAGATCAGACAATCAGGTCAGACAATCAAGTCAGACAATCAAGTCAGACAATCAGATCAGACACCCAAGTCAGACAATCAAGTCAGACAACCAAGTCAGACAACCGAGTCAGACAATCGAGTCAGACAATCGAGTCAGACAATCAAGTCAGACAATCAAGTCAGACAACCAAGTCAGACAATCAAGTCAGACAACCGAGTCAGACAACCGAGTCAGACAATCAAGTCAGACAACCAAGTCAGACAATCAAGTCAGACAACCAAGTCAGACAACCAAGTCAGACAACCAAGTCAGACAATCAAGTCAGACAATCAGATCAGACAATCAAGTCAGACAATCAGACAATCAAGTCAGACAATCAAGTCAGACAATCAAGTCAGACAACCAAGTCAGACAATCAGATCAGACAATCAAGTCAGACAATCAAGTCAGACAACCAAGTCAGACAATCAAGTCAGACAATCAGATCAGACAATCAAGTCAGACAATCAGATCAGACAATCAAGTCAGACAATCAAGTCAGACAATCAGATCAGACAATCAAGTCAGACAATCAGATCAGACAATCAAGTCAGACAATCAAGTCAGACAATCAGATCAGACAATCAAGTCAGACAATCAAGTCAGACAATCAGATCAGACAATCAAGTCAGACACCGGTCCCCCCTGTCCCATTCCGTCTTGTCATCTGACAACCTCCGTGGTCTTGTGGTAGAGTGTCTGCTTTGAGAATGGTGATGTAATCCCCGGCTGCGTCATACCATAGACGTTAAAAGATGGTACTTTTTATTACTCTGCCTGGCGCTCAGCATTAAGGATCTTAAACAAGGACCACATAATTTGTAGTTTAAGTCAAATCAAAGGATGGAGAACTGGTGAAACAGATGGCCCTCTCCTGTTACCAGTAATTGAGGTCTAAATTCATTGGATTTTAACTTGTCCTCAGCACAAGTTACTTGTGTCGGGCTAGCGAACTAGCGTGAATTTCGAAGGCTGGATTGCACTATTGATTGAGAGATTGCAGGTTTAGAAATATTTTTTTAAGAATAGTCCAGAGGGCTAGTTCTCAGAGTTTGTAGCTAGTCCTGCTTGAACAAGACAAAAATGTTTACAATATTTATAATTTCTCCCAATTTTATTCAGTCCAACTTGAAGCAAAATTGAAGCGTTGGGTACTGTTTCAGAATTACAGCCCTCAACTGCTACTTGTCTTTGAGTGAGTGAGTTTGGTTTAACGCCGCTTTTAACAATATCCCAGTTATATCGCGGCGTGTCAGCTTAATGTGGGAGGAAAGCCCGAAGTGATGCAGGTCTCAGACATTTACCACATAGGTGAAACCCACAAGCATGGGTATGGTGCTGACAAACCTAGAAACATAATCGGGGCGAACCGGGATTCGAACCCACAATCATAGGTTTCTGGCGTGCCCAAGGGACCCAAGTCTGCCCACGAATCGCGGCGCCTTAGACGACTGGGCCACCCGTGATCCCACTTCTGAGGTCTGCAGTCATTAGATTGTGCCAGTGTTCCCTTCTACCTGTAATTAACATTTTTTTACCGGTAAAATTAGGCTTGGACCAGTAAATCATGTGATCGTAAGTTCCTGTCGGCAGGCAAAAAAGTACCTAAAAATCTTTGTTCTTGAGCAGGGGCCGGTCAGGTAGCCTAGTGGATAAAGCGTTCACTCGTCACGCCGAAGACCCGAGTTCGATTCCCAACATGGGAACAATGTGTGAAGCCCATTTCTGGTGTCCCCCGCCGTGATATTGCTGGAATATTGCTAAAAGCGGCGTAAAATCAAACTCACTCAATTCTTGAACAAAACATCAGCAATAATCAGTAAAGTTGCCTGAAACCAAAGTGAGAATATTCACGAGGGAAAAGAGAAAATTGTGACTGAACTTTATGTGAATGACATGTAAATCTCACAAAGTTACTTCAGAGATGACGTCATTGAATTTGTCAGCGATGAACGTTCGCAGCATTGTTGGTGATGTTAAAAGAATCAAAACTAGGTAAAAGTTGGGACTGACAAAAACTGGAGAGGGGGGGCTGGTCATTTTTAGAATTGCCAGTCCACCGGTGTACTGGCAGTTTCAAAAGCAAGCGGGAACACTGCTGTCCTCCACTAAATGTAAAACTCTCATGTTTATAGACCTGCATTAATTTCGAAGGCTGTACTGGAGACCTGTCCTACTGCTAGTGTTGGATGTACTACTGAATGTGTTCATCATCCAGTGACCAGTCATGTCGGAGTAGTTCAGTAGAGGAATGCATAATCCTCACACACATAACTCTCTTCTGATACATGTTATCTGTCCAATGTGTTGTTGTATGTTGCTCAACTAACAATAGGGATATTTCATTATGTACTGAGTGGATTTTTTATAAAAACGGATGGACCTATGTATTTTCTAGTATACAGATAGCTGGATTTTCTTCTTAATTTTGCACATCTCTCAGCATTGTAGGGGAGGTCGGGTAGCCTAGTGGTTAAAGCTTTAGCTCGTCACGCCGAAGACCTTGGTTCGATTCCCGACATGGGTACAATGTGTGAAGCCCATTTCTGGTGTCCCCCGCCGTGATATTGCTTGAATATTGCTAAAAGCGGCGTAAAACCAACTCCCTCAGCATTGTAACCTACTAAATCCATATACACGAGACATTAAGTAGGTCTGAACTAATATGTCTAAAAAGGTACGTGATATCGGTATCCATCTCAAAAGTTGAGTGACTTGTTGGACCAGGAAGTCAGTTTTTTTCAGTTTATCACAGTGTCTTTCCTTAAGTTATGAGCCAGTTACGAAGTTGGTATCTTTTGGGGGAAAAACTACATTTAAAGAGTGTGTCCTTCTTCCCGAAGCAAGAGAGTTGACTGACTATAAAAAAGCCCAGTTTCCACCCTTCTGAACTAGGCTGGTATTATGGAGTTACATTTTGGCTGGACTAACAAGTATATACATAGTCCAATCAAAATTGTGCAACAAGATTGAAATCCGATTTGTAAACTGTCTTTCAGATTTCGGTCGATTGCGGGATTTGCAAAGCATGTGCACCGCCAACTCGTTTTTTCCAGATCTTTTCATGCTTTTAATTAAGGTGATTTGTGTACTTTGCGATGTAAGACCAGTTTTATCACAATATAGATCTTGATTATCGATCAGATCGTCTTGACTGGGCACCGCCATTTTGTTTGAAGAAAATGCAAGTGATACGAGAGGTGGAATCTGATTGGTCCATAGGAGAGGCTTAGAAGGGACTAACTCGTAATAGCCAGTGGCGCCCAGGAATTGCAGCCTAGTTCGGCAAGGGTGGAAACAGGACTTTTAAAGTCAGTTAACTCTCTTGCCTCGGGAAGAGGGAGTATATCAGGAAGAGAACCTATTTAAACTCTGGGCCATTTCCAGGAAAATTGAGGAATTCAAAACTTCATATTTCTAAAGGGAGATAACTGTAGTAGAGTCCCAGTGTGTGGAAATAAGAGGCGGGTTAAGCTCAAACATAGATATTGTCTCAGGTTACAGACTCTCCCACCGTAAGTTATATTTATCTTATATGATGTTTTTGTCCTGTTATTTCAAGAGGGTTATTTTTTGGAAATAAACTCAAATCATTTTTTTTCTACCCTCTTGGAATATGTCCAAATATCTGTAAAACAGGAAAATAGTTTGTTTGGATAAATAATATTTGAGTAGGTAACCTATTATTTTTTATTAGGGGTTTGGCATGAACACATCACATGTAGTATTTTCAGGATGGCTTTCATGGAGCTTGTTATGGCTAGTTTTTTACTTTTTCAGAATTTCATCTTTTCATGTTACCATTAATGCTTGTATGGGGTAGGATAGATTATAGATGCATCAGGAATGTTGGAGAATGAAACCGTCCATGGTCAACACTTCCCAAGTTTGTATAAACTACATTCCTCCGTCACAGGAATATATATGGCCGATTTGAAGTGTAGGCCCTATTTATAACTGGTTCCAGTGGCCAATGAGCATTCAGATTACATGAAGTTCAAAGGTCAACACGGAAAGGGGTCGTTGTTCAGCTGACTGAAACAGCCAAGTGCAGGGCAGTCGGTTCTGTTCACAGGTAATGGAGGATTATCGTGTATACAAAACCTGAGGAGTATCGATAATGGAAACTTAAACACACTTTCTTTGATAGTTAATTCCTATGCTAAGTTATTTACCCCAAATTTGGCAATAAGAGATTCAGTTGCAGCAGTAGAAATTAACATTTTTAGTCCGCTAGTCCTTATAATGATAACATATAGCAAAACCCTCATAAGGCCAAATTTGTACTCGTCCTTGTGATGCCTTAACTATTGGGCAGTTTGGCCAGGACTATAGGACTAGTGCCAATTTTGAACGCTGAGTTGTCGATGTGTTGACAGTGGTAAAATACATTATTGATCTCATTAACAGGAAGCAAACACGATGAACTGAGCTACTTTCCTTGAGGTATCTTAGAGTTTAGCATGAACTGATTACTTTCAAATGCATCATATTCAAGACAATCCTGGAGGCGCGAGTGGCCCAGTCGTCTAAGGCGCCGCAATTCGCTGTGCAGAGTTGGGTCCCTTGGGCACGCCAGAAACCTATGAATGTGGGTTCAAATCCCGGTTCGCCCCGATTATGTTTCTAGGTTTATCAGCACCATACCCATGCCCGTGGGTTTCACCTATGTGGTAAACGTCTGAGACCTGCATCACTTCGGGCTTTCCTCCCACATTAAGCTGACACGCCGTGATATAACTGGAATACTGTTAAAAGCGGCGATAAGCCCAACTCACTCACTCACTCAAGACAATACTCCCATCCAGCTTTGTGTTGCTGGTGTTACAAGATGTCAAGGACGATGTTTATCAAGTAGACAGTCTCTTTTTCTGCATGATATTTACAGATATTATTACAATATCTTCTTACATTTGCATGACTGTTGCTTATTGAGACAATCTGCAAGGCATTTTATTTTCATTGACTGTACAGGAAGTTTGATAATCGTCTATGTATGGTATGCATATTTCATGGTATAGGCATGTAAATATGTTTAAGGATAGATACTAATATTCACATTTAAAGTCATTCCTCAATAATCTTTAATCCTTAAAAGTAAGTCTTTATTTTACAATATTAAATTACTGTAATAAGATACGAACTTGTAAATGTAAGAATCTTGATGACTAAACATTAATGTTTAAAATGTTTTTCCGAAAATATTCCTTATTCTGATATGATTTAAGAAAATGTATTATACCTGAAATCAAAGGCTTTATTTTCCCCTACAGGCCAGGCACCATATTGTCCACCCCCAGTCAGTAAGTGAACCAATCAATGGCAAGCACTGTAGTGAATACATCGAGTTATTGTCCTACATATCGGTGTATATTATTGTCAATCTCATTCAAATCAGATCTTAGCTCTCGCTACCGCTAAACAAAGATCTGAGGACATCCCATAAGGGATCACGCCAGAACGATCTGTCATCCGACCGATCAGAACGTCGCTTATCAGATCATGAAAGTGAGAGTCAGAATGCGATTTCTAATCATGCCACCTCAAATACTTTTACACGGGGTATTCCGAACGATAGTTACGGGTTTACGACTGAATCCATACAATCTAGACCATGTATTAGCCATTCCAGAATGTTCTTTTTCCAATTTGTAATCGAGAATTAGTCAAAATATGTTTCGAAGAGTAGTCGCCAATTTGAAATTAGTGCCGTAAAGCACGAGAAAGCTGCCCACTGATTGGCTAATGTTGACTTCTTGTCAGTCATTCCATTGGTCGGTCAAAGTTCACACAAGATCGTGACCTGTAATGGGGTGTTCTCAGATCTTTGTTTAGCGGTAGCAAGAACTAAGATCTTATTTTAATGATATTGTTATTATTGTATATTGTATATAGCTGTTGTTGGTGAGTAGGAAGATCTGTATTGTACTACACAGTAGAATATGAACATCACTTGTGAAACAGTTTACAGTAATGTGACACATGACATTTTCATTTTGTATTTTTGTACAGCATGTCTTCTTCTTTGTAAGTTTAAACCCACTTTGAACAGTATTTCAGTTACATCGCGGTGTCAGTTTGATATGGGAGGAAAGCCCGAAGTGATGCAGGTCGTAGATGATTGTCATTTTGGTGAAAACCCATGTAATATGGGTATGGTGCTGACAAACGATGAAAAATAGTCGGGCAAAGCAGGATTTAGAATCATGATCATAGGTTCTGGCACTAGTTCCTTCCCAGTGAGTGAGATTGTGAGTGAGTTTGGTTAAACGCCGCTTTTAACATTATTCCAGTTATATCACGGCGTGTCAGCTTAATGTGGGAGGAAAGCCCGAAGTGATGCAGATTTCAGACGTTTACCACTTCGGTGAAACCCACAAGCACGGGTATGGTGCTGACAAACCTAGAAACATAATTGGGGCGAACCTGGATTCGAACCCACAATCATAGGTTTCTGGCGGGCCCAAGTGACGCAACTCTTCACAGCGAATCGCGGCACCTTAGATGACTGGGCCACCCGTGCCCCCTCCCAGTGAGTGACGAACTCTCGGTAATCGCTGACACCATTGCGGATGCGGCCATTACAAGAATCTTTGCCCTTAAACCCCAAATTTAGTAACGTTAATACTTTAGTTTATGTCTTTGGGAATGCCATCATAGTGAATTTTGAAATATTTTGACCATATTTCCCAGCTGAATTTACCTTTTTGTTTGTTTGTTTGATCAGATTGGTTAGAGAGTGCAGATGAACGGAAAATTACTTAACTTCCCCTTCACATTCTTACTATACCAATTAAATGCTAGCTGAAATGAAACAGAAATTCAAATTGACCTAAAAAGAAAATAATTAAGCTGGTAAGAGTATTCGGCGTCACGGCAGACATCACTCGTTTGTTAACATGACAGTCAGTTGGTTGTGAGTTCAACCATGCCTTCTCAGATATCCACAGGTGTATCATTAAAACAAAGCTGGATCAGGCTGTGATTCCTAGCTCTGCAAATTTTGCCACCCGCTTGTATGAGGTCGTTGCTGTATATTGCTGTTCAGAGTTGTGTCCCCTAGCTGTGCCAGTGTCCGCTATTCATAGGTTCAAAGTCCTAGATTTCCCCTAATTATAATATTGTCATTTTCAGGGTTTTCTCAACTTGAGTAACTATTCCCCATCATGATATAGAGCTTGAAAATTTCTAAAAGTGTTTTAAAAGCACACCTGCTTACTCCAAATAGTTTATTTGTTACTGGAATATTATCTATCTCTAAAAACACGGTTCTCCAATTTACAATATATTCCATCCCAGTTTCACAATCGTTAATGTCAACACACAATTCAGTCCTGTCATTACTTACGTGTTCTCATTGATGCAGTGTTGTGGGATAATAACTAGCAATAGGTAGTATATTGTACAAACAAATAGAAAGAAAACATACTGTATTCGACGTAATAAGCGCCCTGCTCTAATAAGCGCCCAATGCGATATATGCTGATATATTGGCTAGTGAACAAGCCCAATTTGCATCCCTTCCGATTGATCAATGTACACAAGACTTATTTATTCGGTATAATTAATAATAATAATATTAACGCATTAATATGTAATATGCACCCTTATTTATGGGCAATTAAATTCTGGAAAAATATATCTATCGTACATAAATATTTCAGGCTGTCAGCATAAACACCGAAATTCATCTTTCAACTATGTTTTTTTTCACCAAAATAATATTCTAATAAGAGCCCCCTATTTCTAATTTTGAGAGCGCCCGGGGCGCTTATTACATCGAATACGGTATCCACCATTTTCAGCACAATGTCATTTAGAAATATTCAAGGGAGGCTACTCTTGCATGTGATTGGTGTTCGTGATACAGATTTATGAATCAATACTGAGGTTTCAGTTGTTTTAACAGAAACAAGTACATTCAGACATTTTCAGGATTTTTTGTCAAATTTTTAGAAGATAATCTTTATATTTACCAGATTTGAAAAAATATTTAGGACATTTTGGATAACAGTCCGTCAATGTCCTAGAACATGATCGGGGGCACGGGTGGCCCAGTCATCTAAGGCGCCGTGATTTGCTGTGCATAGTTGCGTCTCTTGGGCACGCCAGAAACCTATGATTGTGGGTTCGAATCCCGGTTCGCCCCGATTTTGTTTCTAGGTTTGTCAGCACCATACCCGTGCTCGTGGGTTTCACCGAAGTGGTAAACGTCTGAGACCTGCATCACTTCGGGCTTTCCTCCCACATTAAGCTGGCACGCCGCAATATAACTGGAATACTGTCTATAGTGGCGTTTAACCCAACTCACTCACTAGAACATGATCCGATCTGAAGTCCTGCAGTTTTAACACTCATCATTATTTCTGTGTTTCCTTGCATGATTGTAGCCCCCTCCCCGATGGTCTCTGTGTAGCTCAGCATCCCTTTTGGTCCTTGTGTTTTACTCCATGGAGACCCGGGTTAAAATAGATGCCCTGCATCCTAGGCTAGTCATAAGTGGCAAAGAAATGGATCAGGGCTCCATTCCACAAACGTCTCAGCGGTAGAAACTAACATTTTTAGTCCACTAGTCGTTAAGATGATAACATATAGCAAAGCCCTTAAAAATGGCAAATGTCTACTAGTCCTTATGATACCTTAACTATTGGGCAGTTCGGCAAGGACTACAGGACTAGTGCCAATTTCTAATGCTGCGATCTTAGCACTAAGACGATCGTACTCCCACACTTTAACATACACTTACGGCAGTCGCAGCACTAAGACGATCGTAACTCCCACACTTTAACATAGACTTACGACAGTCGCAGCACTAAGACGATCGTAATTGCTACTCTTTAACATAAACTTACGACAGTCGCAGCACTAAGACGATCGTAACTCCCACACTTTAACATAGACTTACAACAGTCGCAGCACTAGGACGATCGTAACTCCCACACTTTAACATAAACATAGGACATTCTCAGCACTAAGACGATTGTAACTCCCACACTTTAACATACACTTATGACAGTCGCAGCGCTAAGACGATCGTAACTCCCACACTTTAACATAGACTTACGACAGTCGCAGCACTAAGACGATCGTAACTCCCACACTTTAACATAGACTTACGACAGTCGCAGCACTAGGACGATCGTAACTCCAACACATTAACATAGACTTAGGACAGTCGCAGCACTAAGACGATCGTTACTCCCACACTTAAACATAGACTCACGACAGTTGCAGCACCAAGACGATCGTAACTCCAACACTTTAACATGTAGCTGGAATGTTGCTGAATGTGGCATTAAGCAACCAAGATGCACATCCTTTGTTTGATGTTTGAGAGAAATGAAATGAAAAAAATGCAGCAATATTCTATCCATTAGTGGCCATGACAGTTGTGCATAATATGGTGTAAGTTGATACAACAGTGTTTCAGACTGTCTGAGATTCTGGTCATTCAATATGGGTCACTGTTCGAATAGGCCCACCAGTTCCGCAGCCAATTAAGCAGCTCCTCAGTTGATCTTTGCCGCTGCCACAGTTGATGTTCTAAACAACTCGCTTATTGTAATCGATGTAATAAGCGCCCGCAGCGATATTTGCTAATATGTTGGCTAGTGAAAAATCCTAATTAGCACCCTTCCGATTGATCAATGTACACAAGACTTATTTATTCGTGTATAATACGCACTCATGTGTTATATGAACCCTTAATTACAGGCAATAAAATTCTTGAAAAATTTATCTGTCGTGTATAATATGCACAGGATTTTCTTTTGTATCATTTCAGGCTGTCAGCATAAACCATGAAATTTACAATCTTTCAACTCTTTCACCCAAATTATATTGTAAAAAGATCCCCCTATTTCTAATTTTGAGAGCGCCCTGGGAGCTTATTACGTCAAATATGGTAATAGATGTTAGAGACTTCATACGTGAGATAACCTACCATATACCCCTGGGAGGTTTTCTGACACGTGATAAGTGCCATTGAAGGTCAAGGTCACCCAGTATGATCTAGGAATGAAATAACCTACTGTACACAATCACTTGTTATTTTTGAATGAAATTTGATGAAACTTGGTGTACATGATCCTGAAGGTGGGGTCTATAAGGTCATTAGTGGTTAGATTCTTAACATTTTGCGAATTTCTCAAAATTTCAGATTAATTCATGAAAAATCAAAGTACTTCCTACTCTAGGAGATTAGCAGTGTGATATGGAGATTTCGTCTTTGTAACACCACCTAAGCTACAAGTTATGTTATCGCATGTGATTGGATGACATTGAAGGTCAAGGTCACTAAGTGTGAGTTAAGGTACAAGCACAAGATGAGGGACTAACGCCATCATATAGCTGGAATAATGCTGAATGTGACGTTAAACAACCAACAAAACAAACAAACAAAATTAAAAAGTAAGAGACTAATGTACTGAAAATATTAACCTCCCCTTGAAGCATGTTTTTGGTTGACCCTCCCCATGTCCCTGTACATATTTTTCATCACTCTCCTTGAAAAGACATATTTCATTACAAAATGTCCCTTATTTTCATGACCCTCCTCAAATATACTGTATTTGACATAATAAGGGCCCAGGGCGCTCTCAAAATTAGAAATAGGGAGCTCTTATTAGAATATAATTTTTCGTAAATTTTGTGGTTTATGCTGACAGTTATATTTTTCCAGAATTTAATTGCACGTAATTAAGGGTGCATATAACACAGGATTGCGTATTATACACAAATAAATAAGTCTTGTGTACACTGATCAATTGGAAGGGTGCTAATTGGGATTGTTCATAAGCCAATATATTAGAACATATTGCTGTGGGCGCTTATTACGTCGAATACGGTATTATTTTTATGACCTCCTCTGATTCCCTCTGACCCACCCAACCCTATAATAAAGGGCCGGTTCCCTAACTTGAGTAGTTTTGATTTGTAAGTGGATGAAACTAAGTATACATGATCTCTAAGGTGGCATCGCGATCAGATCACAATTTTTTTTATCTCTTATAGTGAACTTGTGTTTGTTTTAATGTTGTACTGACCGCCTCCGTGGTCTAGTGATAGAGTGTCGGCCCGGAGAGCGGAAGGTCCGGTGTTCGATCCCCGGCCGCGTCATACCAAAAGACGCTCGGCATTAAAGGGCTAAAACAAGGATTGGTCAGCTTGGAGTCAGTATTCTGTCTGAGTGGTGTATTCATGTTAAACTGCGGTATGGTATCTCAGTTTGCGAACTTGTACAAGCAGCCACACACATACACATGCATGAACGTCGCTATATAAGTGCAATATTCTTGGACGCGACGTTAAACCCCATTTAACCTCACCTTTAAGGTTGTACTGGGAGAACGACAGGGTGTGTTGGAATGGGGCTTGCCTAGCCTGATGGCAAGGGCAGATAACTCTTTGGTGTGTGGGCAGATAACTCTAGTGTTCCTCCTTCCTTTCCCACGATACTAATTACATGTGGGGCGGTCGGGTAGCCAAGTGGTTAAGGTGTTCGTTTGTGGCGCCCGAAGACATGGTTTGATTCCCAACATGGGTACAATGTGTGAAGTCCATTTCTCGTGTCCCCAGCCATGATATTGCAGGAATATTGCTAAAAGCAGTGTAAAACCATACTCACTCACTCACTCACTAATTACATGTACTATAAGTCAAGTCTCGTTAATCCAACACTCATTAATCCGGGGGGCACGGGTGGCCCAGTCGTCTAAGGCGCCACGATTCGCTGTGTAGAGTTGCGTCCCTTGGGCATGCCAGAAACCTATGATTGTGGGTTCGAATCCCAGTTCACCCCAATAATGTTTCTAGGTTTGTCAGCACCATACCTGTGCTCGTGGGTTTCACCGAAGTGGTAAACGTCTGGGACCTGCATCACTTGGGGCTTTCCTCCCACATTAAGCTGACACGCCGCGATATATCTGGAATGCTGTTAAAAGCGGCGTTAAACCCAACTCACTCACTCACACTCACTCATTAATCCAACAATCACCTTTGTGCTATTTAGACCCATTAAACTGACAGTCTCACACTCCAACTGCCGACACTCCTACTTTGCAACAAACTACCCAGATCACTCACAATCAGGCCGACACAGTAATCAGCGTACACCCTGTTTATCTGCCAATGAGTACACATCCCCGTGTCAGTCCACCAGTTGCTGCATTTTACAACCGATGCAGAGATAAACCTGCTTAACAATTAAGTCTTTGATAGGCATTTAGAAGTTGGGAGAACGTGAATTTTTATGGATAGCAGCTTCTTTTATCCTTTGTCACGACGTTTCAGAGCTACTTTTTGCTCCTTCATCAGGTGAATGCTGAGGAAGTGCATAAAAAACAAGCAAGAACTAGCTCTGAAACATGGGGACAAAGAATAAAAGTGACTATTAAAAGGTCTTCAGCAACCCATGCTTGCCGTAAAAGACGACTATGCTTGTCGTAAAAGGCGACTGACGGGATCGGGTGGTCAGGCTCGCTGACTTGGTTGATGCACGGTCATCGATCCCAATTGAGTGGATCGATGCTCATGATATCAATCACTGGATTGTCTGGTCCAGACTTGATTATTTACAGACCGCCGTCATATAGCTGGAATATTGCTGAGTGCGGCATTAAACAACAAACCAAACCTAAAACCATAAAAAGTGTTGTATTTATTATACACAGTTAATGCTTTAAATAAACGAACTAGGATAAATCACATGTTTAGATTACCTCAATCTCATTAAAATCAGATACAAGTTCTCACTACTGCTGAGGACATCCCATTACAGGTCATGTCAGAACGAACTTTGAGTGATTGTCCAGTTTTCGATCACAAACGTTGATACTACTTAATTTTGTTTATAAGACATACTCATTAATCTGACATAATCATATGCAACCAACCATGTCGAAATAATGAGACTTGACTTTATTCCAAGTGAAGTAAAAATTCCAATTGACAAATAATTTTGCTGTTATGTTTGTAAACAAAATGGTCAGTCAGTTGTATGTCTCCCTGCAAGGTTGTGAGCCTCCAAGCACAGTGGGGAGCTGTGACTGGTGGCAGCATTGGTGTTGAATGTGCTCCACTCCACTTGGGATATCACTGTAAGGAGCTTTCTTTGTTGTGAGGGCAGGTAACTCTAACTAGTGGCAAGGGCAGATTACTCTAACCACTTAGTGGGCGAGGCAGGTCAGGGTTAGAAACTAACAGTTTTTGTCCACTAGTCCTATAATGAGTTTGGTAAGGACTACAGGACTAGTGCCAATTTCTAACGCTGCAGGTAAGTCTAACAATGCTTCAACGCACCTTTTTTACTGGTAAGTAGAAAAGGGATGACTTGGGTTAATAGTATTTACTACTCATGCATAATTTTATTATGTTTGTAAATGACAAAAATAGGGCAACTTATTACTTTCACACAGCAAAGTGGTTAATACTTGGGCAGACTTGCGGGGTGGGTAAATCTTGTTCAGGCTGTTAGGGAGTGGGTAAGTCTTCTTGCATTTAGTGTTTACTTGTGTTTTTTTCAGTCGGATGTCAACAGTCACCAGGGGTACTAAACAACTACGCCCCATCAACACCCAGCACCTGATTTACTATGCCCCCTCGACAACCAGCACCTGATCAACTACGCCCCCTCGACAACCAGCACCTGATCAACTACGCCCCCTCGACAACCAGCACCTGATCAACTACGCCCCCTCGACACCCAGTACCTGATCTAGCGGAACTCTTCTACGTCCAGATCGTGAGGTCTTAATACCATACATTATACAGCTACTCCCCCTCGACACCCAGCACCTGATCAACTACGCCCCCTTGACACCCAGTACCTGATCTAGCGGAACACTTCTACATCCAGATCGTGAGGTCTTAATACCATACATTATACAGCTACTCCCCCTCGACACCCAGCACCTGATTAACTACGCCCCCTTGACACCCAGTACCTGATCTAGCGGAACACTTCTACATCCAGATCGTGAGGTCTTAATACCATACATTATACAGCTACTCCCCCTCGACACCCAGCACCTGATCTAGCGGAATTCTTCTACATCCAGATCGTGAGGTCTTAATGCCATACATTATACAGCTATGCCCCTTCAACACCCAGCACCTGATCAATAATATGATTCACAGACATTCATGAATGAGATATCAAAGAGACATTAAGAATATTAACAAAGGAAATTACGTAACCCTGAGTAATTCGAACGAGCTATGTCTTCAGACTGAAATAGAATATACTTTAATGCTAAAAATCTTTGATATCTCAGACATTATACATGATTATTTTTTTCTTGTGAGTGGCATCATCAGCCATAACAACTCATTTTATGCTGCTAAATCATGCCATTCCATGTGCTGGTGTGTAAGTGGACAAACAAATCATGAAGTGAAAAACTGTTTATCATGAATGTACAGAAGTAATGTCGAACCCTGTTGCCTCGAACTCAGATGTGTCTTAACTCACAGTCCGGTCCCGGCAAGACTCTTTCTATATTTATATATATATATATATTTATATTTATTTATATTTATATATATTTCTATATTCAATACAAATATTAACTCAAAGATATTGAATCCCTGGTTGTCTCGAACTCAATTAATGTCCCAACACTTTAAAAGATATGTTACACCTTTTCATTGTTAAGTCATGAAAATAAGTCATAAGATTGATAAGTCATCATAATAATCCAGTGATTTTATCAAGATGCACATGGATGTTTAAATGTAGATATGACAAATGCTTCTGTCTATATTTACATAACAAGAGGGGACAGGGGTGGCCCAGTCGTCTAAGGCGCCACGATTCGCTGTGCAGAGCTGCGTCCCTTGGGCACGCCACTAACCTATGATTGTGGGTTCGAATCCCGGTTCGCCCCGGTTATGTTTCTAGGTTTGTCAGCACAATACCCCTGCTCGTGGGTTCCACCGAAGTGGTAAACGTCTGAGACCTGCATCACTTCAGGCTTTCCTCCCACATTAAGCTGTCATATACATTGTAACAGGAATACTGTTAAAAGCTGCACTAAACCCAATTCACTCACTCACTCACTCACTCACTCACCCATAACATGAACAGGCTGGTATGTTTCTGTTGTCTGATTGCTAGGTCATAGCATACATACCACATGTGGAGTCAATGAATAATAAATCAACAAATTTCTCTGGTTCTCTTAAGACAACAGGGTTCGACAGTACTTGAAATCACTCAACAGTATACGATGTACCAAGATTATTTGAAATGTTCTAACTTAGGATTCGTTCTTCCTGTTCATTTTCCATAAACCTATATCGCCAACTCACATGTTTGATCTTAATTTGGATCAAAATTTCCCATTTGTAAAATCTTTCATTGACTGTTCATTTAGAAGAATATCACACAAAAGATTGTCTATGTCAGAATTTCATGCTATTACCAGAAATATGTTGGTGATGACTCCACTCTGGTTGAGAAGGGGCGGTTGGGTAGCCTAGTGGTTAAAGCGTTCGCACATCATGCTGAAGACCCTGGTTCGATTCCCGACATGGGTACAATGTGTGAAGCCCATTTCTGGTGTCCCCCCGCCGTGATATTGATGGAATATTGCTAAAAGCGGCGTTAAACCATACTCAGTCAGTCAGTCTGGTTGAGAAAACACTAGTCATTCAGTACATTGTATACTACTAGAACTTAAGGACTATCCGATTCTTTCATATTATTATAGTAATGTGAAAGACTCGGGTGTTTTTTAATTCGTGGAGGAGTATATGTGAGCAAGTTCGATATTGTTTTATGTGTTTTATATGAGTTTATAACATTCCATTAAAAGTCATTGATTCTTAGTATACCATCATGTAGAATTTCTTCTTTGTTTTGTTTGCATATTCATAACTGTAAAATGATTTTAATTTATTATACAATTGTTTGGTGTGTCAGTTGTGTTGATGTTGGGAATAAAGTTATATCACAACAGATTTTTGTTGATTTTTTGCAGTAACACAGTTACATAATTTCTAGGGCTGCAATGAATACACTATGAGGCGAGTATGAAATGCATCCTGAATATAGGGTAACGAATATGAATATTTATTCACGAATACAATAAGAAGTTACTTCCGGTGTTACATGCTCACGGTGATCAGCTGGTAGTGTCTTTGTGTTGGGGGGAAAAACTTGTTTCAGTGTAAAACTTGAGTTTGTTAAAATTGTTTGTATATGTACATCATGTAATTGCTCAGGTTGAAACATTTCAGTTATATTTTTTGTGAAGCAAACAAGCAATACATTGCAACTATTCCACTTATTCTATAGCCTCATGTTTTAGTTGACAGTACCACAAGAGGCTTTGGCAAACTGACACAAGTTATGCTACTGCATGGCTTGTTTATATTCCATCTTGCTTTGATAAATAACTGACGAAAGAAAACAAGTGAAAAAAACACTCTTTACACAAAAATCGTACATATTCGATTCTAGTGGTCACGAATAACAACTTCAATTCATGAAGGGACAGGGTTCGATTCACCAAATACGCGAATGAATTGTAATAGCCCTTATAATTACCAATACCGTATTCGACGTAATAAGCGCCCTGCGCTAATAAGCGCCCATGGCGATATTTGCTAATATATTGGCAAGTGAACAATCCCAATCAGCACCCCTTCCGATTGATCAATGTACACAAGTTTTATTTATTTGCGTATGATATGCACTTGTGTGTTATATGCACCCTTAATTATGGGCAATTAAATTCTGGAAAATAAATCTGTCGTACATAAACATTTCAGGCTGTCAGCATAAACCACCAAATTTATCTTTCAGCTCTGTTTTTTTTTTTCACCAAAATAATATTCTAATAAGAGCCCCTTATTTCTAATTTTGAGAGCGCCCTGGGCGCATATTACGTCGAATACGGTAATATTAAAGATATCGTAAGCGGTGTTTAACTTTTGTATCCACTATATGGCAGGCCTCCCATAAGCTCAATACTCTGCTCCACAGAGTTGCCAGCTGTGTGATAGAATGTTTTACTTTCACATTGCCATCTCATTCTACTAGGTACATGTCCAGGGTAGAATAGGTCTTCAGCAACCCATGCTTGTTGTCATCGCATCCCAATTGCGTAGATCAATGCTCATGATGTCCATCACTGGATTGTCTGGTCCCGATGCCATTATTTACAGACCGCCGTCATATAGCTGGAATAGTCCCCAGTGGTGTGTTAAACAACAAACAAAGGTACCACTTTGCTGCGTGGTGAAGCGTCGAATGGAGGAGACACCACATGCCATGACCCTTGGATTGGGCCAAACTGAAAGCAACTCTCAGGTGTCAAACTTTCAGACCATGGACACTCATCCAACATTGCTCAGCTTCACCAGATTTGGGTTGGTTGGTTTGTTGTTTTACGCCACACTCAGCAATATTCCAGCTATATGACGGCGGTTTGTAAATAATCGAGCCTGGACCAGACAATCCAGTGACTGATATCATGAGCATCGATCCAGGCAGTTGAGATACGATGACATGCTTCAACCAAATCAGCGAGCCTGACCACCAGATCCCTTTAGTCACCACTTACAACAAGCAAATGGGACCTGTGTGTGCTGTGTAATTATGCGTCAGTCGTCAATACTACAGCTGTATCATGGCAGCAAAGTGGAGGAGCTGGTTTGCACGTGCTTGACAAGGCCTGGATTTAGGAGTAAAGGCCTCAAATTTGGCAAGCATGGTAGCATTGCAAACTTCACAAGATTTGTGACGTGTGCTTTGCCTGTACATGTGTTTATTTGGCATTCAGCAATTTTACAGCTATATCACAGAACCGAGGCTGACAGACTTGAATTGCTGAAATTCAGATGTTTGGCATGAAAAGGACTGACATACAAGAATAACATGGTTTTGTTTGTTTGTTTGTTTTTGTTGTTTAACGCCACAATGTTCCAGCTATATGACGGCAGTCTGTAAATAATCGAGTCTGGACCAGACAATCCAGTGATTGACATCATGAGCATCGATCCACGCAGTTGAGATACAATGACATGCATCAACCATATTGGCGAGTCTGACCACTTGATCGCATTAGTTGTGTCTTATGACAAACATGGTAGTTACTTGGTAATCCAACATAATAGGAATATATTAATGAACTCTAGGAAACTCTGGAAAATAATCAAGCCAGGACAGGCCAATTCAGTGATTGATATTAAGAGCACCAAGTCATCCTGGTACGCTGACACATCATTAACCAGAACTCTGTTATCAAACCCTTGTTAACTAATGGCTACATTAAGCCCTGATTCGTTAATGTTACACAGCGGCATTAAAATGGGTCCAATGGCTGAGTCTGACCACTATCTAGTCATCTCTTCAGACAACTCTCTTGTCATCACTTAAAACAACTCTCTAGTCTTCTCTTCAGACAACTCTCTGGTCATCTCTTCAAACAACTCAAGTCATCTCTTAAAACAACTCTCTAGTCATCTCTTAAAACAATTCTCTAATCATCTCTTAAAACAACTCTCTAGTCATCTCTTAAAACAACTCTCTAGTCATCTCTTTAAACAACTCTCTAGTCATCTCTTTAAACAATTCTCTAATCATCTCTTAAAACAACTCTAGTCATCTCTTCAAACAACTATCTGGTCATCTCTTAAAACAACTCTCTAATCATCTCTTAAAACAACTCTCTAGTCATCTCTTAAAACAACTCTCTACTCATCTCTTAAAACAACTATCTAATCATCTCTTAAAACAACTCTCTAGTCATCTCTTCAAACAACTCTAGTCATCACTTAAAACAACTCTCTAGTCATCACTTAAAACAACTCTCTAGTCATCTCTTAAAACAACTCTCTAGTCATCTCTTAAAACAACTCTCTAGTCATCTCTTAAAACAACTCTCTAATCATCTCTTAAAACAACCCTCTAGTCATCTCTTCAAACAACTCTCTAATCATCTCTTAAAACAACTCTCTAGTCATCTCTTAAAACAACTCTAATCATCTCTTAAAACAACTCTCTAGTCATCTCTTAAAACAACTCTAATCATCTCTTAAAACAACTCTCTAGTCATCTCTTCAAACAACTCTCTAATCATCTCTTAAAACAACTCTCTAATCATCTCTTAAAACAACCCTCTAGTCATCTCTTCAAACAACTCTCTAATCATCTCTTAAAACAACTCTCTAGTCATCTCTTAAAACAACTCTAATCATCTCTTAAAACAACTCTCTAGTCATCTCTTAAAACAACTCTAATCATCTCTTAAAACAACTCTCTAGTCATCTCTTCAAACAACTCTCTAATCATCTCTTAAAACAACTCTCTAGTCATCTCTTAAAACAACTCTAATGATCTCTTAAAACAACTCTCTAGTCATCTCTTCAAACAACTCTCTAGTCATCTCTTAAAACAACCCTCTAGTCATCTCTTAAAGCAACTCTCTACTCATCTCTTAAAACAACCCTCTAGTCATCTCTTAAAACAACTCTCTAATCATCACTTAAAACAACTCTCTTGTCATCACTTAAAACAACTCTCTGGGGGCACGGGTGGCCCAGTCGTCTAAGGCGCCGCGATTCGCTGTGCAGAGTTGCGTCCCTTGGGCACGCCAGAAACCTATGATTGTGGGTTCGAATCCCGGTTCGCCCCGATTATGTTTCTAGGTTTGTCAGCACCATACCCGTGCTCGTGGGTTTCACCGAAGTGGTAAACGTCTGAGACCTGCATCACTTCGGGCTTTCCTCCCACATTGAGCTGACACGCCGTGATATAACTGGAATACTGTTAAAAGCGGCGTTAAACCCAACTCACTCACTCACTAAAACAACTCTCTAGTCATCTCTTCAAACAACTATCTGGTCATCTCTTAAAACAACTCTCTAATCATCACTTAAAACAACTCTCTTGTCATCAC